CGGGTGATCTCCGAGGCAGTGATACTTGTAGGTCTTCCAGCCATTGTACTTTACAATGCGTGCCTTCGTTTTTACGGGTTTGCTCCCAAGCTTTGCGCCCTGACGACGTGCGCGTGCGTCAGACTCCTTCTTGAGCTCGTGTGTGACGTGGGTCTCGCAGGTTGTGCGTGCGAAGCGACGGACCGCCGCGTACATGTGAGTTGTCGCAGCCCGGAAGACCTCGACCGTGACCTCTGTATGAAGTCGCAGTTTAGCAAGAGCATGCCAGACCATGAGCTCGTACAGAAGGTCGGCCACAGTCTGATCGTCACCGAGGGGGAGTAGCCCCTCGAAAGCGGGCATAGCGGTCTGGTCAAATAGCGTGAGCACTGAGCGATGAGCGGCGATAGCACGCGTGATACTTACAATCAAGAAGTCTTCGTAGTCCCGTGCCGCGAGCTTGTTTTGTCGAGAGACGTTATGCCAGAAGCGCCGGATCTTGTCTTGCCCAAACGTCGGCATCTGACGCATTCATCAGGAAAAGCCAAATCCTCCAGACGGAGACGCCCGACTCCAGCGCTCCAGGGGCCTCCATATGGAGACACGTTCTCCATCCCTGCGACAAACCTCATCTCGCGCTTGCTTCGACGTACGAGCTCATAGATCTGGCCTTCCGTAGGCCGGCCGCAGTGATTTTAATTGTGAGCGGGGAGGGCGTCGTTGGTGAGTCGCGCGGGGAAGCCGTGGGAACGCCTCCATAGGCTCCATATGGCTGCGGATGGAGACAGGGCGTCTCCGCATATTGGGGGGGAGTCTCCAGCGCTCAATCCAACCACCTGTTACCATATAGGGCCCCTGGTTCCTGAGGTCATTCCTGATGTTCTGTACGAGATGGTTAGTTCAAGTAAATTACCACCGCCTAATTTCTGTTTGCATGTACCGTCGATCAAACTCTTGCACAGTATCCTTGCCTTGTGCAAAGAGAAGGCGGAGGAGGTGAGTGAACACGCCCTTCCAGACACCGAGCTCAAACTCGTGCAACAGGTCGGGTGCGAACATTTGATAGAAATTGAACGCTGGATCCACCTTATTCAACCTCACAGAGAAGGCACTCTGTGGTACCACAGGATTAATCGGCGGGCATTGCTCGTGATGATCCTGGGCACATACCTGCATCGGTGTGAGAGATCTGCTATCGAGGACGCGCTTGAGGTGGACACTGGAGACCGCATAACCACGTGTAAAGAGCCACTCCCGCGTCTTCTTGAGGCTCGACTGAAGCGGCTCGTCATCAACCCGTTGGTGGGCACGACGCCATGCCATGTCTGCCTTCGTGCCCGACTGGGATATTTTCGCCATCGGCGTGAGGCATCGTGGGCAGGGGCACTTGCCAAGATTCTTGATTGCGGTCAAGAGGACCCTATATGTGCATTAGTATTCCAGCGAACTCGTGGATAGCTCATGGAAACTCACTTTTCGGGGTAGTCAGCAGAATAGGTGAAAAACCGAGGGAATAGGCGACGGACGACGCCGTCGCCGCACTCGACCACGGTTCCGTGTTCATAGGCCTCCATGAACTCGGGGTCCAGCATCAGCAGCCATATTTGCTGCATAAGTTCACACTTGCACCACCGGAGTGTGTCGGCTGTCGGCGAGGAGCCGAACTGTTCCCGATAGAAGTCCTGGAGCGCATCGGGCAACTAAGGTGATGGGTTAGCAAGGCACCGTCGTACGAGGGAATCAGACTCACCGTTGGAATGTATGCAAGATGTTGTGCTACAAACTCGGTGGGCTTGCCGCGGATGTACTTGCTGATGTTGGCGATGTAGAGATAGATGGGCCACAGCGATGCTGACCCAAACGTCGCGAGGCACGTGCCGTCCGACCAGATGCACATTGGAAGGATGCCGTATTCCAGCGAGGGTGGATCGCCGGGGTTGCGAGGACGCGCCCTGATAGCGGCATCGGCCTCGTTCATGGAGTCGGTGTCGAAGGTGTCGGAGAATACACGGATTGGCGGGGGTGCCGGCGCATCTGGCGGGTCCATTGGGTTACGCGGAGGCAGCCAGTACGTCTTATGCGGGATCCAGTTGCGTTTCGTTGCGAACCTCCGATCCTGGATCTTGCCGATGATAACCTCGAGGAGCTTGCGAAACTGCAGACCGGCAACCTTGTAGCGCGGAGCGTCCGCCTCGGACGCGCACGGTCTTCCCGGCTTCGGGAGGGCAATATCGATTTCTGCCTCATTCCAGCCATCACGGCGTGAAAAGATGCCAGACACCTTCTTGTAGTTATCGAGATTGCGCATTGCGGAATGCGCGTTGAGGGTTGCAATGTGCTCCTGCTTGAAATTCTTTGACTTCAAGATGTTGAGGAGCGCGTCGAAGCTCTCGAGCGACTTGCCAGCAGCTGAGTCGGTAAACCACTCGGTGAGTAGGAACGAGGTTTCGTTCTCGAGTGGGCCCCATTCGCCGCCTGCCTCCTCTTCACTTCGGTTCAGCCAGCGGATGGTGGGGGGGAGGTCGTCGAGGTCAACATCACCTCGACCATCCGGAATGTCCGATACATCCTCCAGAGTGGTGCTTCCGAAGGGGTCACGCTCAGGCACAGTCTTGTAACTGCGAAAGGTACCAAAGATGTCGACGGGGGAGTTGTAGATTAGCTGATCGTCCACAAGGGGCTCAATCTCTTCAGCAGGCGGCGACGGCGAAGGTGACAGGGCTGGCGGAGGTGTTGGCTCATTAGGTAGTGCCTTGGCAATCTGGGAGGGCAACGCTCGCTTGTCGGACGGGAGAAAATCCTTCCAGCGCCCTGGGACTTTGGTCGGTCGCCGTCGAGACTGGGTTGGTGGTTCCGGAGCAGGTGAAGCAGACTAAAAAAACGGTAGGTGCATGGTGCAAAATATAACATAAATTGCATACCTGAGCTTCTGGCACATATCCATCCCAAAGCCTCGCTAGCTGTCGGTCCTCCTCCGCCTCATCGCGAGCACGTTTGCGCTTGTTCAGGCCTTCCTGGATTTGTGTAATCCGATTTGGGCATTTGTTGGCATGAGAACCAAGACCTTGAGGAGTTGTGAACTTAGCGTTTGGGCAAGCCGTGCAGCGGTAGGACATGATTAAGCACAGGTAGGATGCGACGCATGGGGGGTGTAGCGAGAGCAGAGAGAAGGACGTGCCGCGCAGAAAAAGCAGACGCGTCCTGGCGTGTCGCCTCGTGGACCACGTGATCGCTCGCTTACTTCGCACTTTTTGGTCGCCAGATCGGATTCATTGCTCTGCTTTCCCCATCATCTTCCCCTCACTCTCCTCACCATTTCCATGTCGCGTACTCTTCCTCCAGGGTGGACTGCAACCCGCACTCGCAAACACGATCTACTGGGTAACCCGGCACCGGCTTCACAGCAACGCGCAAAACTAGCGCCTGCTGTCACAACAGCAGGTAACCAGGCCTCGTCTCGCTCGCAGCCCGTTTCAAAGCCATTGTCCAAGCCCGCTCAAACGCAGAAACGCGTAGTAATAGAAGAAAGTCCCGAGCCTGAGCGAGTCACCAAGGCAGATGCTGCTAGGGCGCAAAAGCGACGTCGCGTAGAAGAAAACCAGGCCGCTGAAGCAGTAGCAGCTCCGCCGGAGCCTGAGCCGCTGCAGGAGGCTCAGTCGGACAACTGGCTGGTACGCATCATCCCTAACCTCAGTACCAAGTCAACGTGAGGATTTTTTTGCGCATATATGCGCTCATCACTCACATATATGCGCTCATTGTATGCACACAGGACGGCCATGCGCGTCGCCGATGGTGTAGAAGACTTTTATAAGCTGGTACGTCTGGTACCCCGGGCCTGTGGGGAGTGCGTCTCCCCCGAAACTGCCTTCATCGAGGGCGGCACCATTGCCGCCTCACCGGCACGTCTGTCGAAGTTAGATCCTGCGCAAGAGTGAGTTTGCCACACAATACCACATCTAGTAAACATGCTGAGATCCCATGCCCCTACAGATTCACACGGGATTGTCACCTCCATGCAATGTATGTGAACCTCACCCACTTCCTGCCAATACTCGTGGAGTGCGAAGACCATCTGCGCGAGAACCCCGCAGACGCCGTCAAGCTTTTCACTTTTGTGAGCTTTCGCGGTCGCGTCTCCCTTTGATTCCCACTAACCAGGATCAGATCACTTTTGCGGGTGGCCGCGCTCGCGGTGAAGACCTTTCTCGCCTCAAGCAAGCTGTCATCATATATGGCAATCCCGGCGCCAGTGCGGTCCACTTGATGGATAAAAGCAACCGCGGCTTCAAGCACGAGATGACCGCGCGCCTGCTGTGTCCTGTAACAAAACTGGGCCTATTTGACGAAGATCCGGATCGGTACGTGCTTGAAGTAAGCCTTGGGGTCAATGCTCATAACGTCCAATCTAGTTTTCGCCGTCGTGTTCTGAGTCCCGCTGCCGAAGATGGCATCAGGATCACTTCGTGCGACTGGCCGCTGATGCTGTATGACGAGCAGCAGATTGAAGCAGGCAGAGTCAAGCCCGGACTTCTGCGGAGTCCATACCTTGTCAGAGTAAGCCATCATCGTGCTTGCGACACCTTCAAACTCACCCACTTGCTGCGGACAGCTGTACAAGCATGTTTACACCGGCCCTTCGAGTGCAGGCCGCAGCAGCGGAGACGACTTCACACCGCAAGGGAAGCCCAGCTTGTCAGCTTCGTACAAGCTGACCGGGGTCTCTCCGGAATCCATCATATACGTATCGGTCCTGGTAAGTTGTGCCACCTGTCACTCTCGAACGACGCACTCATCAATCAAAAACCGGCTTGTGGTTCGCAGGCTCGCACGGCGCTTTCCACTAAAGGCTGGGGTAAGAAGGAGACCGATTGGCGTGCAACCGCCTTCGTGCGCTCGCTGCTGCGGGCGTTCGAGTGCTACCCCGTGTGGGCAGATAAGCTCTTGGACTGGTGGAAAGCGTACGTCGTTCTGGTTCGTCGAGTTCAGCCGCTGACACAGTCTAATATAGGGAGATCTACGGGGATGCCGATGCGGAGGAGCAGGACGATGATGAGGACTGCGCAGCCAACGTGATGGATGCAGAAGGTGATGACTCAGAAGATGAAGATGACGCAGCAGACAAGCTGGACGACGCGGACGCGCAGGACAATGCAGACGCGCAGGGTGACGCGGACGCGCAGGGCGATGCGGCATCGAGTGGCTGAGCAAGTGGTAGCGCTGTCGCGCTGTCGCGCTGTCAGGTATGTGCACAGTATGGTCGACTTCGTAAGTGCAACACCACAGCTCATTTTCTTGCCCACAGGTTCTGCGGCCGTTCGACACCTCGTCTATCTGTAAACCCGGATGTCCTGGCGCTCACTTGGCGGTATCTGGACCGCGCTGTCTTGTGCTTCGGAAATCTCAGCGTCTCTCTCCTGTGCTCTTGGTCTCGGTCTCGGTGTTCGCGGTCTCGGTCTCGGTCTCGGTCTCGGCGCCCTTGCGCTGTGCTAGCAATCCGACCATGGAACTCGACGCTCAACACGGCCGTCAACGCCTCAATCCTGCACCCTCCTCGCGAGCTCCACGGTGCATCAACATGAGCACTTTTCCTATCTCTCGCGCTGTCAGTTTCGATTCGTAGTACGCGCTCGCGTGCTCATGTATATCTGCCCATGTCGATATCACTGCGCTACTAGCTTCTTCGCATCACCGAGCCCGATGGTTTTTGTTTATTACGCGCACGTGTGACCGCACCGCCGAGAAATCGCGAGCCAGCCGGGCTCCCCAGCCGGCGAACCCTACAGCTTCTTGTAATGCTCGCAGGAAGATATAATGCTCGTAGCTGATTACAATGCTGCCGCCGCATTACGATAAATTACATGTGCCTACGGGAAGCCCCAGGGAGCTACGGGGTATTGCATAAAGCCATTAGTGGGCGACCATTCATCGTCGTACATTATGAACTCTGTAAAGAGCTACCGACATTGCAGTCATATATAGGCCTCTACAGTTTGGCCCCCCGATTTGCTGATTGGCACAACTGCGATACTAGCAAGCCCCGGGACACAGCAAGCTCGGAACCCCTAGATGTCGGCACCATAGGCTGAGAACACTCGCCATTCACCGTGCAAACATGGATAGAAAGCCGCACCTGTACTACGTATGAGCCGGATTTGAACCGGATGCACAAGCTTGACCTTAAGAGAAAGACCTGCCACAATATTGCGACTCCGAGTCGCAAGCGCCCTTACTTAGACGCTGCACGTATACATAAGTCACAGTCACAAGTTAACCATGGCGTGACGCACTCCCACGTGGCTAAGGTCGATCGGGCCGGACCGAACGAGCTTGAGTCTCGTCTGGCTTGTTCTGCGGGCGCAACTGCTAGCTTTGTGCCACTTACTGCCTCTCACTGCCTCGCGTACACGGACTCTGCGTATATATCGTATTTCCATCTGGCTCTTCTCTCTGGAATACCTGTTGTCATTCAACTGGCTGGGACACAGCGATACCAACCCACTCACCGTCCTTGGCGGGCGCCGTCTCGTCTTCTGCGCCACAGACCCTGGCACGCATCTAGGAGGCTCCAGACGAAGGAGGATCGAGGGTACATCCTCTGGATGTGATATCCGTCCAGTGAGTAACCCATGGTGCCCTTGTTTTGCAAGGTCTAGTTAGATTGGGACGTGCCGCACGCAGACGCCGTGTTCCCGCTCATTGCGCATGTCTTGCATTCAAGGCCGCAAATAGGTGGCGACTAGAATCAACCTGGCCTCATCCATATTATGAGTCTATATTGTCACAGTGGCTCCGCAGTGGGCCTGTACTGACTTGCGCTTTACGCTGCAGTCGGTGCACGGCCCCTGTAACTAGGGCAGACATCCATAATCGCATTTGTGATATGACCGCGCCCACAAGCTGCCCAAAGCATAGCGACACCATCAAACGGTACTTGCGGGTCGCGCAGTTGCTTCGTTACTGGGGAAGAGACCGCGAAAAGACCCACATACCTTGCGATAACTTTGGGCAGAGGGGTGGGTCGCAGTTTTTTCGCCCGGCCTCGCTGGACCTAGTGCTACCGACCTGCGCGCTCAGGACTACCCTCCTTGACAATCGGACGAGAGAATATCATCCGGGAACATAATCACTCCCGTTTGATACGTTCTCGAGACTCATAGCGACTAGGCCTTAATTCTCGAATCGGTATGAGAACCTAGCCTGAGGAAAGTGGTGACACTTCAGTACCACGGCGAGGCATATGTTTCGATCGGGCGTTTCCCCTGAAATGATTGCACGGCTCTTTGTACCTCATGGATGACGACCGTCTTGATCCCTAAGGGGAGAGTTCTGGAACGGCTGACCCCTCACGTAATGTCTTTCTGTTTACGCGCAACTTTGTGGCGGTATACACTACGAATGACGCTTGGGCTTGTCTACAAAGATATCTATTCAACGGTACCGAGCAAAGATCGCAGGAAGACTCACTAACGTGTACTGTTCCCAGATGGACCATGTCATAAGTGTCAGCTCTCGCGAGAGTACTCCCGCTCAAGGTCGCCCTTCACATACCGCTCACGGGAGCAGCGCTCGTTCGCGTGCAAAGCGCGCACTTCCGACCGGAGACGTCATCGAACTCACAGATTCCGATTCTGAGGACCTCCCGGCGAATATTTCGCACCTCTTTCAGCCGCAGAATAAACGACCCCGCCCGAAGGGTAAGGGCAAGGCACAACTCAGTGTTGCAGGCCCGTCCCGAAAACGCGACGAAGCGCCCGCAGCTGCGGTACGGGTACCTCGCGAGCCGTCTCCTGCAGCTCAACTGCCTTTGTTTCTTCCCGACCTTGACGCCCCCGAAGAGCTGGCCCCCGCGTTGGAACACGCGACCGTGTTCGACCTAGGTCCTGCTCCGCCACCGGCCCCAATCGCCCCAGAGCCGCAAGTTCCAGTACCTCCAGCGATACCACACGAAAACCTGCTGCAGGACGCTCAGGCTCCATTCGATGCCTACGTTGCGCAGATCATGGAGATCATTCCGGACGTTCTCCCCGCACATGTCTACTCTCTGGTCGAACAGCACTACCCCAACTATCTAGACAAGGTCGTCGAGCCGGTATTACATAACCTCTTCGAGAATCCCGACTACCCGAAGGCGGATGCGAAAGGTAAGGGAAAGCGTAAGCGTGACGAAGAGGAAGAGCAGGCGGGACGCGCAGTCAAGCCCAAGATCGACTATGGCACCAAAGAGCGCAAATGGGAAGGCGGTATCTACTACCACGCGCTTGCGATGGTGAGCATGCACCTCTTCTGGCGGGGGGCTCGTGTTTAAACGACGTCTGCTCTGCGGTAGGACCAATTGATATCCGACTTTCCCGACATCCCGACCGCCCACATCCGCGAGACCTTTCAGCAGCACAACGTCCTCTATGCGCCCACGTTCTTTGCGCTGCGGGAACACCGGACACGCAAACCATTGCCGTACAAGGCCATCTCACGCCCGCGCCCGAAAGGAAAGGGCAAGGCGATCCAGCAGCACGACGCGGACTTCGAGCGCGAGCTGCAGTGGGTGCAAGAGAAGCTCGAGGAAGAGGACGCGCAGAAGGCGCGCGAGCTCGCGGAGGAGGCGCGGCTGCAGGCCGAGGGCGGGATCGAGTGCGGGTGCTGCTTCTGCGAGTATCCCTTTGTGCGTGTCCATCACCCTCTGTGCGCCAGTCGGTACACCCGTTGACCAGGGCGCTCCGCATCACATCGATGGTACACAGGATAAGATGATCCAGTGCCCGGAGGCGCACCTGTTCTGCATGTCGTGCATGGGCACGTACGCGGAGACGAAGCTCGGCGAGCACGACGCGCGGATCGTGTGCATGGACCAGTCCGGGTGCAAGCTGCCGTTCCCGGAGAGCGAGCTGCGGCGGTTCCTCTCACCGAAGCTGCTCGAGCTATACGAGCGCGTGAAGCAGCGCAAGGAGATCGAGGCCGCGGGGCTCGAGAACCTCGAGGAGTGCCCGTTCTGCGACTACAAGGTCGTGATCGAGAACGAGCAGGAGCGCCTGTTCCGGTGCGAGAACGAGGCGTGCGGCGCGGTGACGTGCAGACAGTGCAAGAAGCCGGTGCGTGTGCTAGTTGGAGAATGGTGTGGAGCGCGGAGTGCTCATGGGCGTGCGTAGGATCATTTGCCGAAGAGCTGCCAAGGTATGTCTTAGCATTTTGTCGATGAGCCCTCGCTGACCCGCGGATGCCCTCACAGAGGTCTCCGATGACAAGAAGCTTGATGTCCGGCATGCGATCGAGGAGGCAATGAGTAAGTCGCCCTTAGCATTCATACTTATCTCTGCTAAGCCTTCACCAGCTGCCGCACTCATGCGCAATTGCCCGAAATGTCAGAAAGGTGTGTCGTCAACCTTCGCAGTCGTGCGCAGCGGGCTCAACGCCGACCCTTCCGCGCTCAGCATTCGTCAAGGAATTGGGGGTACGTCTCTTATCTCACGGAAGTCCTTGGCTTCCACGACGCCTACCTGAGCTCGACATTCCCGTAATGCGCTGAATGCTGACGCATTTCTTGCAACCACAGTGCAACAAAATGACGTGCCCGAACTGCGGCTCACAATCGTGCTATGTCTGCCGCCAGCTCATCGTTGGATACGAGCACTTTGGGAATGTACGTGCAGCACTCGTGCGTCACATCCGCGCGTGTTATGCGTCGCCAAGCCCGGGGCTCATCTTATCGATTTTCTTAGCCTCCGCCATACACAGGCAAAGTCGATCCTAAGAAGTGCCCACTGTGGGACGCATCGGTGGAAGGACGTCATAGCGACGAGGTATGCAGTATGTTTCCATCCGCTGTTTCTTCATTCGTCTAACCGGGCGATTTGTTCACCCGCGAAGGTCACCGCTGCCGCCAAGGCCGTCATCGACGAGTACAAGCGCACCCATCCCGAGCTCGACGAGAAGGATCTCGCGGTCGACCTGCCCCCGCCCCCGCCCGCCGCCGGTCCCTCTCACCCAGGCGTGCGCGCACATGCACACCTACACCGCCCCATCCCCGCGTTCGGTTTCGACTTGGGTGCCGTGGGTGTGGGCCGCCTGGAGTTCGGCGCGCACGGACATGCGCACGGGAACATGGTAGCCCTAGCCGAGTTCGTGCAAGCGCACCCCGCGCCGCCCCAAGCCGCACACGCGCGCAACGCTCGACGTGCGGCCGAGCGCGAGCGCCGCGTGGACCTCGTGAGGATGTGGCAGCGCCAGGCGCAACAGGCGCGGGAGGAACTGGACGTCGCGCAGAGGGAAGCCGCGCACGTGCTGCGGCGGGCGGCGGCGCACCCCCCGGTGCAGAACGTGCACGTCCACATCCACCACAACCAGGCTCCCGCCCCCGCTCCCGGCCCTGCCCGCGCACCTGCGCCTGTGCTCCCACAGCAGGTGTTCTTCCCTCCCGCCCACTTTCCTGCGCCGCCGGCTGCACCGGTCCCTGCGCCCCCTCGTGGTGCGCCCTACGTTCAGGTTCCTGGCCCTGCGCGTGCGCCGGCGCCGGCTGCGCGCGCACCAGTCGCGCAACGACGGTCGAGGAGGGTACAGGGACGGCGCGCTCACCTCGATTAGGCGGGCGTGTTGTCAGCTCTGGGCGTGGATTCGTCGCGAGACAAGCGAAGTGCTTGGACGGACTCTGGAGAAGCGCATCGAGTCTTGGAAGCTGCGCGTGCGGGCTTCGCAGCAGGCTTATCGTAACTGTGCCCGCGTCGCGTCGCGACGCATCAGCCCGCATCCTATCGTACTGTACCAAATTATTCTCTTCCACAGCGCACGTTTCGATTCATCACGATCCACTGGTTGTTGGGGCGTGATGCAGCGGATGCAGGTGGTGATGACGCGTGTGCCCCGGCGATGGGGTGCGCTGCAGCAACTCAGCGAGCTTGGGCTGCGGGCTCTTGGTTCTCGCGTGCAGCGTAGGTCGCCGGGCTGAAAACACGGGCGGAAGGGGGTGCTGCGGTGCTGGCCAAGCCTGCTTGCGAGGACCCAAGCATTGCCAAGGCGGGCTAGCGGCGGAGACCGAGGCAACGGACGCAACGATCTTCGATGGTGCGTTTCGTCGAGTTCGCAAGGACACCTCCCATTGGGTGGTGCTCCCGCCATCGCGTTTGCAGGAGCGGACGTTTTTCGCGCGTCCCGCGCGTTGCGAGGGGCGATGCGGGGGAGAAGTTGACGTGCAGGGGAAAGAGAAAGAGAAGTCTTGGCGTTCGGGCAGGTACGATGTCCAAGTACTCGTCTGCGAGCGCAGATGCAGTACATACATCCAGAGGTTCAAAATACCATGTCTTGAAGTCAATCGCGATCGGGAGGAGCCCAGCAGATACCGAGGCGCGGGATGGCCCCAGGGAGCGGGTGTGTTCATACTAAACTTGCCGGAAATGGATCGAGCACCGAGCGTGGCAGGCGTGTGCACAGCCACCGATCTGGGTTAGTCTGAGACTGGTCTCCGCCGCGGGATCTTGCTTGCTGCTCATCGTTCATCCTCATCGCCCTCCGTCGCCCCGTCGATCGACCGAACACTCGAGCACCGTCCAGCTGGCAGCCGGACCCCCAGCGACGCGCGGAGCACTCATTAATGCGCATCTGCGATTAGTGCGAGCGGGCCAGTGCACACACCCCGGACGCGATATGATGTCCCGTTTCAGCCCCTCGAAGGATCACGGTCGGAGCATCCGCAGCTCGAGGACGCGGCAAGGCGAGATATCAATTTCCGCGCGTGCGGGGATGGAAGCGACGGGGGCTCCACTGTGAATCAGTGTTCTCGCACAACACTCGTCCGCCCCGTCCTTGGCTCGAGCCAGCGATTGGCCGGGCGGGGCTTGGCGGGGGCGCACCGCTTCCAGCGTATCGACCCTTGTGCGTGTCCAGCAAACACGCGAGGGCGACGCTCGACACAGCGCGACGGAGCGAATCGAAAGGCTGGGCAGCCGGCGCACGGCCTAGCCCGCGGTTTTATATATGACGAAGAACGGGGTCGCTCCCCGCTCGTCCGAGCACGCTGTGCGTCTCCGTCCATTTTGCCTGGTGCGCGCACGTCTACCCCCTTCTTATCCTTCCCCGTCCTTCTAGGCTCGTCGCGGCCCTGGTTTTTGTGCACCTTTCCACTCTTTTCTGACTCGTATATCTGGTGCACTTGCCGTCCGTCGCAGCTAGCTGAACTCACTTCCGTCTCCGTCTCCGGTTCCGACTGTGTTCGCCATGGATTCCTACTATCAAACCAACTATCAGTCGCACAACGTCTCTTTCCCCGAAAGGACACCTGCATACCCTGAACAGCAAACACCAAAGGAACCCGAGGTCAAGGTCAGCCACCTTGCTCGGCGCATACATGGGTGGAGTTGGCAGGCCGTATGTTTTTGTTCTTTGTCAAAGCCGCCCATGATAGTCATTGGCTTCCTAGTTCCCGATTGGGATGGGTACAGGCGCAGTCTACGTGACGCTGTCCGGACTCAAGGAACACTCACAGACACTCACGAATGTTGAGACGTTCTTCTACTTCCTCAACATGGCGCTGTTCCTCTTGAACGTCTCGACGCTTGCCATCCAAATGTGCGGTAAGCATGGGCTAGGTTGAGTGGGAAATCCACGTACAGACGCTGAATGAAACTCCCAGTGTACCCCATGCAAGCTCTCCGTCTCGTGAAGGACCCTGTCAAGGGCATCTTCGTCCCGTTGGTCGTGCTGTCCTTTGCCACTATCATCATCGGAACAATAAAATATGCGGTACCCACTGGCCACGTCCACCCAAATTTCATATACGTGCTCTTCTGGTGAGTGTCGTTTGTGCCACCACTTCAGACATGTGTCAACTCACCCTCCACAGGATGTATGTTTCGCTGGCGGTTGGCGTCTGCTTTCCTATGCTCATGGTGTGGTTCAACCGCCCCCATGACCTGACGACCTTCACCCCGGCGTGGGCGTTCTTGGTGAGTGACTAAGGTGGTGTCGCAGAAGGAGACCGCTGAGCATCGCACGGAACGGTCGCAGATATTCCCGATGGTGAGGCGCAGTGCATTCCGATGCCCGTCGGAGTCCTTGCTGACCGCCTGGCTTCTCCACAGATGCTGGTCGGCGTGGTCGCGTTCAATGTGCTCGACGTTCTGCCACCGGCGGACAACCGTGCTCTCGGGGTATTGCTCACTGGATACGTCTTCCAAGGTGCGTTTGCGATCGTTCGTGGTTCTCGGACTCGGCGCATCGCTTACGCTCATATATCCTCAGGCCTTGGCTTCTTCATGACGTTCTTCTACATTTGCATATACATCATCCGGTGAGTGAAGCTCCGGACCCGGCGCTTGAGCAAGTAGAGTGACGTCTATAACCTTGTAGGGTCATGACCGTAAGTGCACGCGTGCGCTAGCGCCCGGCTATTTCTGACTTCCGTACCAGACGGGGTTCCTGGACGGCCACCAAGCGAACGGCGCATTCGTCGCGGTCGGCCCCCCGGGATTCACGGCCCTCGCCCTCATCAAGCTGGGGGAGAACGCCGTCGATATGTGCGCACTTCTCTCTCCTGTCCCGCACTCAATCTCTGACGATCTCCGCTCGATCGGGAATTCGCTCGCGCCTCGCCTTGTCTTCCGTGGTCCGACAGTCTCCCCGCGCATGGCCTGGTCACCAAGCAGGCCGGCGAGATCTGGTACGCGGCGTCCGTCATGTCTGGTCTCATGCTCTTCGGCCTTGCCGTGTTCCTGTTCCTGTTCGGAATCTTGCCGTACTGGTTCAAAGTGCACAAGCACCTGAGCGAGATTCTCGGATGTGAGTACCCCCGAAGTTTCGTGAACGCAGACGCTGACGATGGGCTGTTTCGTCAGGTTGGGCGCTGACCTTCCCGAATGGTAAGCGTTCGTGGCTTGTGATTGTCGACCACCCCTGCTCACGCGTGCTCTCGTCGCAGTTGGCTGGATCTCCACCATCCGTGTGCTGGGCGACATCTTCAAGCTGAAGGGCTTCTTCATCTGGCACCTCATCATGGCCATCATCATGACCACGGTGTGGGCCGTGCTCTTCGTGCTCACCGTGCTCGCGTTCTGCAAGGGCAAGATCTTCCTCGCGAAGAGCGAGGAGGTCATCAAGGACTCGCTCGAGCGCAAGATGTCGCACGCGGACTCGCCGCGCCACTCGTACAACAAAGAGGCGCACAACCACGTCTAGTTCGCGTCCCCGCGCCGCGCCCGGGCTTTCCGCCCGCCCCGCATACCCTGTGGCCAGCGCCGATGCAGCAGCCGCGCCCGCTCGCACGCGCACACCACCCCCTTCCCCTTCCTTCCTTCCCCTGATAGATAGTGCGTCGCCGCCTCGTTCCTGGCGACGCCGGCTTCCGGCAGTTTCTTCTCGACTCTGCGCCCGATCGATGGACACTAGACACACAGCTCACACGCAGACGGACGATACGGACGCTTCCGCGTAGATAGAGTTTTGCACACCGCACTATAGCTGCGTACCTGGCCCGGCACCCCCCACACGTCGTCCCACACTAGACGTCCCCACTACTACCGCACCCTTTAGACCGCGCACCCGGACTGTATACAGACTCGTCTCTCCCTCAACTTCCGCCGAGCCGCCGATTGTGGCCGCTCGCATACTACGTACTTCCGTTATATTAGGCTCGTCTCCGTCCGGTTGGATGCGGAGATGCTCCGAGATCGCTCGTGTGACTTGTGGTCTCGAAATGTCTTCTGAGACATCCGTAGTCGCGCCTTGGGCAGTTTGCGCAATACACTGCGTGCTCCGTCTTTGCAAAGTATGCGAGTATTGGGTACAAACCTACTTGGAAAATAAGGATCTCTGCGTCCTGCGAGACTGTGAAAGTGTATATATAAGATCCTTACAACGGGTTGTGGGACAACTTCCTACTTGCACGAAGTTCTGGTGGCATATGTTCGATCGCGAGGCACATACGCGGGTGACAGTTCCGGTGCGAGAGCGCATGGCCAATATCCGGTGGTTCTCGGACGTCGAAGAGTAAATGAACATGTATATGTGTGACAGCGGAATCTCCGACAGTAGGAGCACGCACGCATACTTTATCATATCTCCTGGTGTTATGCCACTTAGCGGATGTGTTCTCATAAACCACGCAAGGGTGGGGCCTGGCAGCCTGATGTTATAAGCAACTCCAGTCTCGTACAACATGAACATATAGTAGCCTGTGAGCAGTGTCAAATGCCTCAGTATACCACACGTATGTGCAGTCCACGCCACAATTGACACCGGGAATGGCGTCCTGAGTTTTCGGTTAAGCGCCCATTCACTAGAGAAAGAAACATTTTGAGTTGTCATTGAAGTCTACGTGTGTGTCTAGATGACATATAGAGCCATTCATGAGGACCGAATGTTAATCAAATATACGGAGCTTGCGATAGTTGAAAAATCACAGGTCAAGCTTACCGCGAGCTGTACGGCTACAATGACATGAAATTCACCGATCAGGCCGAACGCAACGACCGTAGCTTCAGGACAGGACATCGGTTGTGTGTGGGAGACAAGTGGGATATCGCGATCAGCCTGAAGAGGCGTCTGGTGATCGCACATTAGAAAGCGCCGCGAAGTTCATTATTAGCCAGATATCCATGAATCCGGAATGGTTCGCTCACGCTCTGCGCAGTTGTATCTTAGGGGGCATTGCGGGGCACACGGCTTGCGGTCAGCCTGGCGTCTTCGATTTCGCTTTACGCCTGTCGTACTGGTCACTCACCACCGTCCGCTGCGCAACCGCGGCTAACGTCCCCACCTCCACATTGCGCGGCACAGGGCAGGCGTCGTAAATTTTTGAGTTAGCGTCCATGACGCGATGCGAATTGATGGTGCGCTGGTGAGCAGGAGGCCAGCTTCTCCGCGGCGCCCGGAGTATCTGCAGGGGAAGGGGACGAGCTCGGAGGTTCATGTGGTCGCGTGCATTGACGGTCCGCGAAGCGTGGAGGGAGAGTCAGAGGGAGGAGTCGTCGCAGGAGCACAGCTTTGCGATCGGAATCGGGCAGTCCCGTCGGCGAATTTGAAGCTAGGCGCCGAGCGAGATGCACCAATCTGGCCAACTCGGGAACGCTGCGTTCCTCTCTGACGGCGTCCGGCCTCCACAAGCCTCTCCTCCTCCTCCGAGCGGTCCGCGTCCTGCCCCGCACGCTCGATATCCCCGGATTCCACAGCGCCCGTCTGAAAATCTTCAAGCTATTAAACCACTTTGTGGCGTTCCCTCCGCAGTGCATATGTGGGAGAATTTGTCAACGCAGGACACCGAGCCGACTTCGCGCCACGCTCATGTCTGGTAAGCAGGGCCACCCGTCCCAGAAACACTGGCTATAGCGGGAGAAGACAGGTGCGCGTCACCAGAGCCGCCGGGCCTGCCCGGGAGTAAACCTAGCCCGAGCCGCTATCCGGACAAGCCTCTCAGCCCTCCGCCAGACGCCGTCACATACCTCCGAGCAGCATCGCACTTTCTGGACACTGAGCAGCGCACACGGTCGCGAAACGAAAGATGAAAACGGCGCGGCTGGCAACGAACACGTCTACACTCGCTCGCGATGCAGCGAAGGGGCAAGGTGCCGCAAGAGGCGCATCAGGGCCCATTCTTCTCGTCGTCCCCGCCCACGGCGGGCGTTTGTGCCAAAAATCAATGGTCCCGGCGTCAATGTTCGACAGGACGGGTGAGGCCCCACCAACGCGGATCGGTTTCGTAAGCCTTCTCGTCCATCCCGAGATGATGTCGCTGAGTGTGACTTTCATCATCAGGAGTTTGCATACATGCACGTATTCATATCGTCCCATCACCGCCATACTTCGACGGGCTACTGCCGGCATCACGCAGGCGCCCATGAGGCGTCTTCTCTTCTTGGGTGCTCAGGTTTGGACATGCTATGCCGTCCCATGTAGGCGGATCAAGCGTCTTCATCCGGAGGCTCCTTGTCGCTTCTTTGTACCATTAGTGATCGCCCTGGCTGTGCGGACGTGTGTGTGCTTCCGTCATGGCCGACAGCGGCACTACTGCGTCTATCCAGAATCTTACCGTACGTACGGGCAATCCCCGAATCTGTGCACCAGACTCGCGGTCGGCCAAGTTGTGGTCCGCGCGCGAAGTCCGCGCATCGATGCTATCTGCCTGAGAGCCGTGCACGCCTCCGAAAGGCGCTCGCATGGGATTCAAATGTCGCTAGCACTTCCCATTCACGACAGCCTGCACACCTCCGCCCCTCCGCCCCTTTCCTCTCACAATTCTCCCTGTTCCCTCCTGCTCTCACAGCAGCCATACTCACCCAGTCCACCATTCTCCCATATCCCCTCTGCTCACCGAGTTACCGATGGCCTACAACGTCACCCCTCCGCCCACCGCTGGGCCCTCTGGCACCAAAGCGTTTCACACCATCCTCGCCGGCCGCAAATGCTACCGTGTGTCGAAAGACAAGAACGAAGTTGTATGGCCGCCGCATCTGGAAGCGGCACTGATGGAAGGTCCGGGCCCGACCGGCCAATATACTCGCTCCGTGCGCCCTAGTCGCTGACGCCTGCTGTCGGACAGGTCTCGAGAAATATACCCCGGCCGAGAGCAAGTCGCCGCGCGGGCTTAGCCGCTTCCCGAACCGCAACAAGTTTATCGCCCAGTACATTCTCCAGAAGACAGGCCAGATCCGTTCGGCGAAGCAGGTGGGCAGCCGCATCCAGCAGCTGAGGGACACGAGCGCGGGCAAGAACAGTGAGTCTCACCCGTTTTTCCTATCAACCACTCGACCCCCGCTCCCCGACCCGCAGCCCCCGTCGATGTGTGGCCTGTTGTACCGCCGCCGCCCGTCGATCGGTAGATGTCGATGCAGATTTGCTGACGATAGTTGTTGCCCTAGTCATGAAAGCTATTTCGGACCGCCACTACGAGATGATGCACCCGAGCAGACAGAGCCCGAGCGAACAAGACGCGCAAGGCCTGGGAGTGCCCGCGCTCACGTTCTCCGGTAGCGGCGCTATCAACATGCCCTCGTCCAATCCTCCTGTCATCCAAGTTTATATCAGCGTTCCACCAGTCTCTCCCCCCAACACTGCGACGTGGCCGCCTTCGTCCAACCTGTCCCATCTCCCCCGCCGCACCGACGTGACCGTCTATGACAACACATACGAATTTGTGGAGCCCCGGCTGCTGCGCACGATCGACCCGCGGGTGACGTTCGTATCGACTTCGCCGCTCCCCCTCTACTCGCGCTGCAACGTGTACCGCGGGTCGACAATCGTGCATGTCGGCGACGCGGCCATGATGGTTGTTCAGCCGATGACCCCGGACGAGTCGGGCTTGGGCGGGTTCCTCCACTACACGAACCTTGCGCCGGGATACTGGGACACGCTGTGCAGCTGCGACGGTGCGCATTCCAAGCATTGTTCATCGCACATCTGTCGGGCGCTGATGACGACAGTACGGCATACAGACCTCTCGCCGTACAGCGTGGTTCAGGAGATCACGAAGCAGTCGATCGACCCGACGCAGAAGGCGGCCACGGTGATGCACATCCAGTATCAGTTCATGCAGACGTCCTCTGGCCAGTCGCCGCGCTCCCTTTCGCCGTTCGCGCTCAACGCCGAGGTGCGTCCTTGCTCTCCTTATCGTCTCCGCCCACACGGTGCTGATTGCTGTCGGACCCCTCGACCACAGTTTGATTACGATGCGGACTCTGGCAGCGACATCTTCCCCCTCTTCTCCGGCCAGATGAGCACAGGCTCCGAGAGCCCTCTCCCGAGCGACCGGAGCAGCTCGCCGTCCCACAGCATCCCTACCGGGTTCTCGAGCCAGCCCATCAGCCCCACCGGCTGGGTGCCCCAGGAGCAGTGGACGCCCTTCGGCGCGGCCGCTGGCACAAACCCGCTGTCGCAATTTCCGACGTCGGGCTACTACGACGTGCAGCAGCCACAGCACCACCAAGCTGCCTCCTACCACTCGGGCCCGCACCAAAGCCACCAGCCGTCGCCGCCCGGGCAGTTTTTGGGCCCACCGTCATTCTGAAACCCGGACGCGCACGGCGGTACGCGTTTGACGGCGCGGCGCATGTGCTCCCCCTCCGGGCGTCCTGCACGAATTAATATACACTGACACACACTGACACCGCATACCATATTTATTTACTGTTTCGCGCTCGCATTCTCGTCATCAGTCCGCCCTGGTCTCCGTTCTGTATGACTAGCTTAGATGGGACATTTAGGATCCGCTCGTCTGCTGCATGTACACTAGCTACACGTTGGGGCCACGCGCCGCCCATCCATCTATACCAGTGCCGCCTCGCCGCTACCTCCCAGACGGCTGAAGTTTTCGCACCGCTCAGGCTACTGCCGCCGGCGTTCGCGCGCCCGGGATCTTCCCGTCCACCTCCAGGCACAAGGTTCAAAGAGCGCCACTGCACGCGTCTTTCATATGGTGCGGCAGACTGCCATAGATGGGTTCGAACGAGCCGTGCATTGGCACCGCCGCCTTCGCGCGTCCGCGTGGCTTGGGAAGTGCATGGCGCCGGCTCTCCGGGGGCAGCCCCGTTGGCGCGCGGCACTATGCAAAGGCCGGGCCCGTCTCCGGGTCGGGCCCGAGCCTCACACACGCTCCGTGCTTTTCGTAGTGCGTCCTACCGCCATGTGTCACATGTGGCCCACCACGAAGAACACCGGGCACGCGTGCGGTGGACGTTCGTGCTGCGCGGGGGACCGAGCACCAGATGCATGATTCGAAATCAGGGCGCGGGGCGGACGTCAGTGATTAAGTGGCATTAGTGAGTTCGCGCACAGCCGCCAGCCGTCGCCGCACCGCACACATTCAGTCGCCCTTCCACGCCGCGGTGGCCCAACCCCGAGTCCGGCGACCCGTCCTGTCCCCGGGTGGTGCGCGCAGCGCAGCCACGTTATTCGCGGCACGAGCCCTGCGAGGCGGGGCCCCGATCGAGGCGATTTTGAAGACGTCGATCACACCGGGCGAACGCGTCCGGCGATTTTGTATCCCCTGCTACTCAGTAAGCTTCCGCGCTAGCCATCTCGTCATGTGTGATTGATTGCAGGGCCGGGGGGTCTGTGGGCACTCATATTAGGTTGCGAGCAGTACTGGTGCCGCGCGCGCCGCTGGCAAAGGCCGCTGTCACACATCCACATCCACGGTCGGCTACAGAACTTGAAGGCTAGTTTGGGGTGCGGCGGCCGCTGCAGCCCGCGGGGCCGCTGCAGCTGTCAGATCGCGCGTCGTGCATCTGGGGGCCATGTGGTCCTGTAGGTCCCGGCGCGTCCGCGGCAGTGGCTGCGTAGGCGGGCATTCGCCGACAGCTCGGAGACTGAGAAGCGTGCAGGGTAAGGCGTCGTGACCCGAGGACCTGCCTCGGAAACGCTTGGGGGCCGATGGCAGACTCTGTGTTAGGTAGGCAGGCGGCGGAAAGGGGCGTGGCGGGCGCTGCGGCGTGGGCGGAGCGATGTGGTTCAGGCTCTCATCGCTGTCTTCTGAGGCGAGCACACCGGCTTGCGTTCCAAAATTCGACGACATATGCATCGTGTGGTGTCATAGGGGGTGGTTTGAAGTTTAGGGGGGTTCAGCTGCGTAGGTGGGCGTCCCGGGCGTACTCGGGGACCTAGTAGAAACGACCGTGACGTCGTCCTGGAAGTCGTGTAATTACGCGGGGGGCATTCAATAAACCCTGTTGGCATCACAGATACGTTCATGTGGAAAGGAACTGCAGCCACGCCCACTCACCAAATTTTGGTGTATTTAAGATGAAGTTGACATCGGTGACTCGTTGAACGGTCAAAATTGCCTCACAATATAGCGTGGATGATGATTGCGTGTCTTAAACCAGCTCACAGTCTATCGGCGCTCGCACCTCACGAACACAGTTGAAGAGTTTCGGAAGAAGTTTGCGACGAAGGACGAGTCGAACGCGTCGGCGAGTTTCTCGCGTGTGTGACGAATGATGGTCACGCGTCACTTCACGTGATCGCGTGGTCATCTCGGCAAAACGCGCCCCGCCACTGTCCGCCATCGCCGGGCTCGTCGGCGTCGAGCTCGTCGTCTTCTTCGTCTTGCTCATCGTCCTCCATATCCTGCTCGCCGCTAGAATACCTGCCCTCGTTGCTCCTAAGGACACAAATTTGCAACACTACTGCCACATGGTCGAATAAGGACACCGCTTCTATACGGATCGAGCTTCGCGGCCCCGCTGTATCGCCTACGCACTTACACAACCGCCGAACGCCAGCGAACATTCAATAAAGCCGCCACGACAGTGCGCAGCCCCCAATTGAGCTCATAGATGTCCTCTCAAGAAACCAAGACTCCCGTCGAGCCATGGAACGCTACCCCGCCTCCGTTCCCAAAGTCGTCGTACTCCCCGAATAAGGCACTCGACGATATTGGCGGGGTGGAATATGCGCTGCATCTCTTCTTGGGATCGCACATGCTCGAATCGGAGGAGTACTGCCGCAAATATGACCCGAAGATGTGAGTGCCCCTGCCGCTAGAACTCGAAGCCCGCTACATGTCATGCAGGGAACGAGTCTACCTCGCCACTGGCTTCGGCCTTATCCAGTGTGTGAAGGGGCTGATGTCGTTCGAAGACGAGGTGGGTCCGCGCGCACTGCTTGCCCACCTTCCATTCGTGCTCAATAGTTCGCCCGCAGGACTTGGTGGATGCCATCGCTCACGTACGACACGGGAACACCATCGCGAGTCAGCACAGGAAGCGGGCCGCATCGCTCCCAACACGGCTGGCAGGCCTCGTCATGGGCTCGCTAAACACCTCCGGTGTCGGGTTCATCAAGAGCATGACGCCTGTAGAGCGGCACGCAGAGCTGGTCTACGCTGAGAGCCTGTTTGAGAAGGTATGTCGCCTTCCATTTTTTGGCATCATGTTCGGCGCTTTGGGTCTGTCATCACCGCCCTTCACTATGTATTGTTTGTGGGAGCCAGGGGTACAGTTTGAACACCGCTGCGAGTACAAGACCGGAGCCTGAGAATATGGTCGCCGATGCGGCACGCTCATCCTACACATGACAGACCGATTACATGTCGAAATTTACGATGTGGAATCATTCTGGATGTAACTGTCGAAGACCTTTGTGCCTTGCCATGGTTTTGCGCGCCGGATCCGCGCCGCATGCATGTTCCGGGTGCATTACCCCTTTCTACAGCGGATGACCGTTCGCTGAGTGTAGCGGCCATGATGGCGGCGGCTTGACGTATGACGCTATCCGTCACCAGAACATAGGCGAAAGTCTGTGCTTACGTCCACTATATGCGTTGTCGGACAGCCTCAGAAAATCAGAGGTGCCACATTCTCACTCAAATGAGATGTGTTGTAAAATGTGGATTGCTTACAGATATCGCACTCTGATACGTCTCAGGCGAACCGGTGCACTTCAGCTGCTTCTAAAGCTAATATCCGTCCGAGACGTGACGAACATCTTCACATTCCTTTCTGGGACGCAATCTGGGGTGCAAAGCTTAGTATCCGTGCAGCTGTACGGGGTTCGGGGCTGTTTCCGGGGGTGCGCTGTCGTGAGAGCGATGTCACCCACCCACAGAGCGCTGCAGATAGCCCCTATCCGAGTACGAGCGGGAGATGTTGGCGCGCTGTCAACCAGGGCATGAAATCAACTGCACTGTACGTTGGTTGACAGGTCGTCCTGATCCAAATGCGCGGGGATTGTGTATATCCCAAGTGCTGCGGGTGGCGGAGGTCCGTGAAGGGCCCATACTGCGGGCCCACATAGGACATACGCCACTCGGGGCGCGTTTTCAGTGATATCCGTGCTTTGCCTCCGTCACGAGTGTATACTATGACGGACACGCCCAAAGATGGGTGGCGGATCGTCTTTGACCGTCGCGAGCGCCGTAGCTGTCGCCCATCCCTGGATTACCTTTCGCGGGCCAGAAGGAACACACCCGTCCCTTCTCTCACGTAGGGGGTTCTTTCCCGCTGCTGGGGCGCTCCGTTCGACAAATCGTTGCGTCAAGGACACCCTGCGGTGTCTCCGGTAACTATCGGCTATTATGTGGTTCGTCCGCTGTCTATGAACGATGAAGAAGGGCTCAACTCACGTGTCGGAGTTGCTGATGCCGCCGGACCACCTACGCTCGTGGCTCGCGGATCTGGGTTGTGGCGTTTGACGAGGCATGCAGAATGGAAGTTGTGATCGAGAGGCCGCAACAGTGATAGTTGCGATCTCATCTTTCTCCCCTCAGCGCTTGCTCTTCCGCCATGTGTAAGGATGTCCGCTGACCAGTTGATCCTGTAGGCCCTCCTTGGGATCGTCTACTCCGGGGACTGGCTCGCGTTCATCAAAGAAGCGTGAGCGTTCCATTCTCGAGCGCAGCAACTGTCCGCTTACGAGCCACTTCCGACATAGCCTCAATATGCGCACCACAATCAACATCTACCGTCAGCTCGGGAAGTACCTCGAAGCGGCAGATGCGGAGGCTCAAGCAAAGGGGTTGGGCTCCGAGGATCCCGCCATTGACGCGCACTTCCGATCCGGAGTGTATCTCGGCGTCGGGGTCTCGAACTTGATTCTGTCGTTGATGCCGTCGAAGCTGCTCGCCATCGTGGAGCTGTTCGGGTACAAGGGTGACAGGCATCTGGGTCTGTCCTACCTGCAGAAAGCTGGCGGGTGGTCGGCGGAGTCGGACGTGCCGTCCATAGACATCGGTGCGTCACCTTCCTTTTCGGCGTGCTCCTTTGTTTTGCGAAGGTGGCACTGTGCCGTACGCAGTTGCTGACGTGAATGGCATGGGCGGGTCAGATCAGGAAGGGCTGCGGCGGACCATCTGCGACATGACGCTGCTCATCTTCCATCTGGTGCTGTCGAGTTTCACGTTTGAGGGCGTGGACATTCGGATGGCCCAGAAGATCCTGGACTATCACATCCAGCGCTACCCCAACGGTACGTCCGGTCTGTCCGCTATTTTGGCCTCCCCGTCCACCCCGGTGCGCATGCCGAGCGCTGCGCGCCCATGGTCTCGTAGCATGCTTCCGCCCGTTCTGCCTGCCACATGTCACGCCGCCCTGGATGTCGTATCCCGCGAAGAGCACTGCGGACGCTGACACGGCCACCTTTCGGCTACCGCTTTCTTTCACAGGTGTGTTCTTCCTGTTCGGCCAAGGGCGACTGCATCTGTGCCGCAGCCAGCCCGCGGCGGCGCTTGGGTTCTACCGGAAGGCAATGGAGGCGCAGAACCAGTACCGCAACCTGCACCACATCTCGTTCTGGGAGATGGCGATCGCGAACCTTGCGCTGTGGGAGATCAGCGCGTCGCTCGAGTGCTGGCGGACGCTCGCGGCGGAGGCCACGGTGCGTCGGTCTCTCACTCCGGTCTGGTTCGGAACGCCGAAGTACTGACGTGGGCCGTCGGCGGAGCAGTGGTCGAAGGCGACGTACACGTACGGCGTCGCGGTGTCGCTGCTGCAGCTCGGGGACGAGAAGCACCAGGGGGAGGTGGCGGAGCTGATGGCCAAGGTCCCGACGCTCCGGCAGCGCATCGCGGGGAAGAGCATCCCGATCGAGAAGTTCGTGGCGCGCAAGGCGCGCAAGTTTGCGCAGCAGGGCGCGCGGCTCGCGCTCCCTGCGCTCGAGTTTGCGTATTTCTTTCTTGGGATCGCGCACGCGCCACGCTCGGTCGTCACGGCGCGGATGCTCCCGCTCGTGCAGGCGCAGCTCGATGCCCTGGATGAGCACGCCGGCGAGCCGGCGAAGTATGGCAGTGCGGGCGCCGAGGAGTACTGGGACGACCGGGCGTTGGCGCTGTTCTTGAAGGGGATCTGTTTGCGATATGTCGCGCATCCCGACCCCGATGCGGTGTTGGATGCTGCGGACGAGGCGGCAATGAAGGAGGGTAAGGCGGAGGCGGAGAAGGGCTCGCGAGAGGCTTTCGAGGCTGTCTTTGAGGTCGGCCCCAAGATTGTCTACGACCACTATCTGGTCTACTTTGCGCGTAAGTCGTTTGGACTGTGGACTGCGTACCAGCGGTGCTCACGACCTCGGGTAGACTATGAGTACGCGCGGCTGCTTGCGTGTCAGGGAGACAAGGTGAATGCACGGCTGCAGTTGGAACTTGTTCAGTCCGGTATGTCTACGTTTATGCTTGGCAACTTGTTTCAGGTCTAACCCTCTGCATAGGCAAACCGTTGGAAGTCAACCCCGCGGGGCGTAAGGTGCGTTGGAAAACTGCTCAACGTTGTCACGCGCTAACATCTACATTTCGCAAATCAGGGCAAATACAGCATGGAGGTACGTGTACATGCACTTCTCCCCCCTCGCCGTCACTCATCATTCTGCCTTATAGAATGCCATCCACATTCGCACGCATGCTGCGTTAGAGGCCCTCGAACGCAACCGTCGGTTGTAGATACCTCTAGATGTTCGTTGTGAGTAGACCATCGGGCTCTCGACGAGCCCGTGCTCTCATGGATGCTACATGATGAATCGTCCACGATCTTGGTTATGTTATGTTGTATGATATGTATACGGTGCGATCCTGTAGTCCCTGGTCATAGTGCTCTCGTCTGCTGTCGATTTCTTGGTATATATACGAGACCATCGCATGCTTTTGTTTCCATAATCCTCGGCCATCCAGGTTCATCCGACCTTGCCTTTGATATTTGCGTTGTCCTTTGACGCTTTCATGGTAATACGGATGGTACACGAGCCTCCGGTTTGGCTACCATTATCTGCTCGCGACAGCTGCGCACGTCCATGCTGCCAAGAGAAGGGTTACCGGAAGCGCGGGCCGGATACCCCACAGCGCTAAAGCGCGATCAAGGTTGACGGCGACCGCGCGCTCGCTGTTCCCAACGCTCACCGCTATCTCGCCAACGACCACGACGAGCTTGCGAGCATGGCACACCACCATCACCACCACGGGCACTCACACAGCTCTTCCGACGAGTCGTCAGTAGCCTACCCGACGCTGAACTTCGGCGCAGGCGCGAAATGGATCAAGCATCTCACCAAGGACCGGCTGGGCACGTTCAACGGCGGGCACTTCTCCGACGTCAACCTCTCATCGACGCTGTATGCGCACCGGATTGACAACCAGGAGCATGTGAAGCTTGAAGTTTGGAGTGCGCCGGGGCTGTCGAAGCCGAGCTTCGAGGAGGCCATGAAGCAGAAGTTCAAGCCCACGAAGAAGGGGGAATCCTTTGGGCCCTCTTGTGAGTATACCCATACATGCGACATTTAGCGCGATTCTGATGTCTATGTAGGGGTATGTTGGATTTTCGTTATGTTGTGACTGAAGTTGCTAATATACGGCAGACGAACCATTGGTGGAAGGTCTCTATCACCATTCCCTCCTATTTGGAGCAGTACGAGCGCGTGCAGTGTGGGTGCTCTTCCTTTATACCGTAAATATCTTTAAGCTGATGTGCGTGCAGTCGAGTTCGACCCCGGCTGCGAAGCCATGATCCACACTACAGACGGAACCCCTCTCCAGGGCATCACCGGCGGTTACGGCGGCGACAGGCGCGTCGAACACATCATTCCCCACAGTGCCGTGAAGGCAGGCAAGTACGAGATTGTGATCGAGTCGAGCTGTAACGGCATGTTTGGTGTACCGTGGAACGGCGACACCATTGCGCCTCCTGATGTATGCATATATCCACCTCTCGTATGTCTTCATGGCTAACACTGGCCTAGATGAACAGGTACTTTCAGTTGGCGTCGGCGGATCTGGTGGTTCCCAACATGGAGGCCTGGAACCTCATGTGGGACTTCCAGACGCTCCGCGAGTTGACCGACTCGTTACCTGGAAACACGTCGCTGCAGAACAAGGCGCTGACGACTGCGAACGCCATCATGAACGCGTTTGAGAAGGGGGACCCGTCGACCATCACTGCAGCCCGCAAGCTAGCTGAGGAGGTGTTTGGTGAGGGCTGGGCGAAGAAAGGCGCCAAGATCTACGACGAGGGCCCCGAGAAGGCGCGCATTTGGGGGATCGGGCATTGCCACATCGACACCGCCTGGTGAGTTGAGAAACAGTTGTCAGGACGCCCGACTAATATCGTCCCCCTAGGTTGTGGCCGTATCGTGTAACGCAGCAGAAGGTCGCGCGTTCATGGTCTACTCAAGTTGACCTTATGGACCGCTTCCCAGAGCACAGGTTTACTTGCAGCCAAGCACAACAGTACAAGTGGCTCGAGCAGGTAAGAAGACGTTCTCTTTGACTGCGTAAGGTGCATCTCGCTGACGTTTGCATAGCTGTACCCCCCGCTCTTCGAGCGTGTTAAGGAGAAGATCAAGGAGGGCAAGTTCCACCCCGTGGGCGGCTCATGGGTCGAAAACGACTCCAATATGCCCTCCGGAGAGGCGCTCGCGCGTCAGTTTATCCTCGGGCAACGCTACTTTGAGTCGCGTTTCGGCGTGCGCTGCAAGACTGCGTGGCTGCCAGACTCGTTCGGCCTTACTGGCGCGCTGCCGCAGCTCATCCGGTTGGCGGACATGGACTACTTCTTCACGCAGAAGCTGTCTTGGTGAGTGCTTCCCTGATCGTGATCGTTTCGGCGATAGGGTTGTGGGTGCACGCCGAGGACGCTCACACATGTGTACACATCACACGCGCACATCAGGAACAACATGTAAGCCTAGCGGTATCCTCGGAGTACACGAAAGCTCATCTGAGATCTGCGATCAGAAACGTGTTCCCGCATTCAACTTTCAACTGGGTCGGTATTGACGGCACGCAAGTGCTGTGCCACATGACGCCTGTCGGTACGTGACGTCGACCTTAAAACGCCCGGTCTCCCGCTGATCAGGCCGCCGAAGACACGTACACTGCCCAGGCTACTGTAGGCGACATTAACAAGGGCGTCACCAACCACAAGGTGCCATAGTCGCTCGCCTGCTGCGTTTTATACACGCTCATCGAACCTAGAACTTGGAATCTTCGGACATCTCTCTGCTCGTCTTCGGGAACGGTGATGGCGGAGGTGGGCCGCTTGAGAAGATGTTGGAGAATGTGAGGCTTGTTTGCTGGGCCCCTGATTCCTTTCATTGCTGATAAGGTGTAGCTCCGACGTATTCGGGCGACTGGTAATCACTCTCGGGAGATCCCTGCCGTGAACATGGGGCACTCCGTGGACGAGTTCTTCGATGTAGTCGCCAAGGACTCGGACGCTGGCACAAAGCTCCCGAACTGGTGGGTGTAGCTCTGACATGAAGTGGTCGTTTACGACGACTGACAATACTTCATCCGTAGGAGCGGCGAGCTGTATCTGGAAGTGAGTACCTTTGCATGCTAATGGTCGGCATTCACTCAAAACGATCGCCGTTCTTAGTTCCACCGCGGAACATATACCTCCCATGGTGAGGCATTCGCAAGCAATTTTGGCCGCGGACCTGACGAGATTTCGCAGGCTCCATCAAGAAGGGAAACAGGAAGTCCGAGATCCTCCTTCGCGACGTGGAGGTGAGTTGCACAATAGTCCGTCAACTACGGGGCGCTCAACGACGCGTGGCAACAGGTGTTGTCCACGTTCGCTAGTCTGTACAAGTTCCACAAGTCCGACTATGTTTACCCGAACGAGAGAATCAACGACTGCTGGGAGAAGGTGTTGTTGAACCAATGTGAGTGTGGCTCACATTCTGTGAGGTCTCGTACTGACGACGTTTGTTCCTAGTCCATGATGGTGCGTAGTTCATCGAACGTCCTATATCGCATAAACTGACGAGCCACGATCGGCCTAGTGCTTCCCGGATCGGCCATGTAAGCCCTGTCGGTGTGGCCCCTGCTTCGATATTGACATAGCCATTTCTCCAGTGGAATGGTGTACGATGACGCTGAGAAGCTATACGCTGAAGTCAGCAAGGAAGGCGACGCCCTCATCGAGGAGGCCTTCAAAGCGATCTTCCCTCCATCTGTGTCTCTTGCCGACCCCGTCATGAAGTCGAAGAAGACTGGCACGCTCGTGGGCTTCAACACGACTTTCTTCCCTCGCCGTGACATCGTCGAGGTTCCCCTCACGGGCGCAGCCACTCGGCTGCGCTCACAGGTGGTACAAACATCCAAGGACGGCACGGTTGGTCTTGCACTCATGGATGGCCCTACCGCCGGCGGCCTGTCGTACGGCACTGGGATGTACGCGGACTGCAAGCCGGTATCCGGTATGTTCAATCAGCTCAGGCTGTTCCTTCTTACCGCCTTGCTGATCGATTGTAGTCACGCACCTGGGAGAGGACCACTTCGTGCTGAAGAACGCGAGTGTCCAGCTAACCGTCTCTGAAGGAAGAATCACTAGCTTAGTGGACGTCGCACTCGAGTATGTGATGGGCATGGTGCGATCGATTATGCACAGCTGATATGCATGTTCCAGGCGTGAGCTCATCCCCGAGGGCGAGACCGGTGGCCTCGTTATTTTCGACGACAGGCCGAACTACTGGGACGCTTGGGGTGAGTAAGGGTGCAGGCTTCGGGTATGCACCATACTCACGCTCTACCAGATGTCGAGGTTCATCACCTTGAGAAGTACAAGAAGCTCAGTTTCGGGAATATCTCGGTGGCTGCAGAAGGGCCTCTTCGTGCTGCGCTCAAGGCTCAAGTTAAGTACGGCCAAAGCACGATCAATGTCGTAGTAAGTGCACCTCGTCTTCTTGTGGCGGTCTTCACCTCCCTTACCACATCGTGCAGATTTCGTTGGACGCGATCCCTGGTAAGATCTATCATTCGAGACTTCGTCTAACGACAATATTGACATCTTGCTAGCCTCGTTGAAGAAGAACTCGCGGTCGTTCTTCCGCTTCGACGCCCAGGTTGACTGGCACCAGAGGCACGAGTTCTTGAAGTGTGAGTAAAACCATTCTTACGTTCTGGACGAACTGCTGAAAGATATCGACAGTTGAACTGCCGCTCGACATTCACAACGACAACGCCACGTATGAGACTCAGTTCGGTCACGTCCAGAGGCCGACGCACAAGAACACGACTTGGGACATCGCGAAGTTCGAGGTCTGCGGCCACAAGGTAAGCCTAATCATGTTCAGTTCGCTTTAAAAGCTGACCTTGCCATTCAGTATGCCGACTTGAGCGAGTTCGGCTATGGTGTCGCTATTCTCTCCGAGTCCAAGTACGGATTCTCGTGCCGCGGCAACGTCTTGCGCATCTCCCTTCTGCGCGCTGCGACCGCGCCAGACGCTGAGCAGGACCAAGGTTTGTATGCATTACTTTCCACCTTCGACCATGTCTTGACACGATAATGCATCCCCACAGGCAAGCACGAGTTTTCCTGGGCCGTTATGCCCCACCAGGGCCACTTCTTGGAGTCGGACGTCCCAATTGCAGCTATTTTGTTTAACTCTCCGCTTCACGGTAAGTCAATCTTGACCGCCATTACGACACGTCTCAACATCTTTGTCCACAGTTCGTCTGCTTGAGGACACTACCGAAGCGCCTCTCCTGAAGACGAAGCCCGGATTCAGCATCGAGGGCGCCCCGAACGTGGTCCTCGAAACCGTCAAGCGCGGGCTGGACGACGACTTCAGCAAGCACGATGCGTCCTCGCCTACCGTCGTGCTCCGCCTCTACGAGGCCTATGGCGGTCACGCGCAGGCCACGTTCAAGATAGCGAGCCACATCCCCATTGCGAAGGCGGTGTTAACGAACCTGCTCGAAGACGAGGGTGAGGAGCTCAACCTGCTCCAAACCGAGGACGCGTCCCTCGCGGTGAAGCTCAAGTTCCACGGCTTCGAGGTCAAGACCGTCAAGCTCACCTTGGGCAAGCCGGGGTGGGTCCGCTATCACGATTTAACGGTGGCGTTTTGACTGACGCCAACAGCGCTCGCAGTGCTCTCCCGAAGAGGGACAGCTGGGTCACCATCGACAAGCCGCGCGCCTGAACGGATGTTAGCGGTATGCTCGATCTCGCGACGTCGCCTTGATGTACCAGTAGCTGCTGTTGTTGTAAAATGGTGTTTTCTTGGACGGATGGACAATGATCATTGTGCTTTTGCATGTACTCCCTGCCTTGCCGAAAACCTCTGCAGCCTTTCCCGCGCACTCTGCAGCTTACGCATGGATGATACAGTTGTATTATTCGAAATAACACATAATAGGGCTAGCACGTATAGACGTCCCGTACTTGCGCATCGTGCGACAAGGAGGATGTACGTGCATGGAGGATGCAGAGAACTCGTGATAATCGGGAAAGAAACATTGCTGCAGGCGATCAGGGCAAATGCCAATACAAGTATACGGCCAGAATAGAAGCCCCGGACGCCCACAGCGCCAACACGACGGCCAACACCGTCAACAAGGGCCCCTGACCCTCTGACTCCAGCTGAAGTCCGTCGGCCGCCTCAGCGCGGAGCGCGTACACGGCGAAGAGGACGTCCCGTGCGGACAGCTGGGCGAACGTCTCCCAGAAGTGCGCGTAATCTGCGTCACCGTGCGATGCTGCGATAGCCGCGTGCCGCGGGTGCTCGGCGAGCGCGTCGAGCTCGTGCAGGATGGGCATGAGCGCGGCGTATGCGGGGTCGACGCCGTCGGGGGCGTCTGCATCTGCTTCTTCCCCAGCGCCTGCTCGGAAGGGCAGCTGCAAGCACAGAGCTCAGACGGAAGGTGTGGGGTTTGAGGGGCAACGGAACATCGCACCTTTGCGCTTTCCGTGTCTGCCGGGCGACTGCTAAGAGCGTCTGCGTGACGGATGTCGGAGGGCCCGTGCGCGCCAGCTGCCGCATCGAAGAACGCGGCTAGCGCGTCCACGGCGTCGTCGTAGATGCTCTCGGCGGCCTGCGCGCGCTGGGTGAGCGACACAGGGGTAGGATATCGTCTTTCGCGGCGACGTACCTCCGGTCCATCCTCGCCCACAAGCGGCTTCTCCTCAGGCTCGTCAGAGCACGGCGGCTCGCCGCTGGAAGCAGACGCCCTATCGTCCACAGCGTCTTCCGGTGCTTCATCCGACGCGGTACTCGCTGGTACGGAGGCTTTGGAGCGCTACACAGGGGCGAAGCTCTATGTGAGCACCATCAGTTTGACGACGGCCATTGTGTCGCACCTTGTGCCGTGCAGAAATAAACACCCCAGCCGCGCCACGGAAGAGCTTGCGCGGAGACAGCGGGGCGACTACGGGCGGTGTGTCATCCTGCCTCTCGTCAGCGCGGACAGGAGCCTCGCCGTCGGTGTTGCGGCGCTGGACGTATTCTGCTGACGGGGGCTGGAGTGCAGGAGATCGGTCTCGAGTCGGAAGACTGAGGCGCCGCAGGTTGAGCGGCCGGATGCGGAGTAATTTGAAGCCTGTGCGTTTGGCGGGGCTTTCTCCCGTGGAGGGTTCTTCGGCTTCACCCTGGGGTTCCTGGAAGACGTTAGCTATGGAAGGGATCTCGGAGCGCGGAGACTGCGCGAAGTTCGTACCTCGCACATCGGTTGAGTGGGTTCGAGTAGTCGATTGTCGACTAGCCATTGTTCGATTTCCTGTCATCGCGAGTTGAGCACGAGGGGATTTCAACAGGGATAACCGAAGAGAGCGCTCACCCCGTGGATGTCCGTTGGCGCGTTCTCCTAGGATGGAGCTTGATTCTGTCATCTAGATTGTGTTCACAAGGCGGGACACGTACGGCGTCGTCCGGATGGCGCGCCCAGTAGTCGCGGGCCTCTTGGAAGGCGACGGCGAGCTGGCAGCGCGGGTCAACATAACACGGGCAGTCGGTGTGCTTCGGAGCGAGGCGGTTGTATTGGTGTGGCTGAAAAAAAACATGGGTGTAAATATTGACTGCCAGTCAAGTGGTGTTTGCGGCGGTATCGTAAATGCCATTGACAGTCGCTGTCTCCAGGGAGTGGTACCCGCAATGACAACAAATACCGCCATGTAAAGAACAGACGTGGAGTTACTCACCTGTGGCTCTGGGCCTGACGCCGTCCCGTTCAAATTGGTGGCTACATCAACTTCGGCGCCGTCACATCCAGCGTTGTTGGTGCCATTCATGTTCGGCGATCAGAAAGTGTGAGTGAGTTCGAGCGTATCGAGAGAAGATGGAAGGAAATAAATGAACTGGAGAGATGCAAAGAAGTTGCCCAAGAATAATATATGTCCGTCAGATTGCGGAGTGCCACTCGATCTCTCCAAGGCGTGCCACCTGGGCAGAACAATGGGGCTCGGCTGCAGCACGCTTTTGGGCGCACTGATCCGATACGATCCAAGCCTCTTCGCAGTCCGGTGCTGCAGTAATGTCATGCATAGTAGAATGACAATCACCTTGGGCTACATAGGCAATGCGGTCGGCTTTCGCATCTGGGTCACATAAAGTACTTGAAGGTTTATACCTGAGACGCCGTCAGCGACGCCGACTGTCGATCCGCTGAAGGCCATGCTTGCACACTCACCGATATATACAGCTTCAAAGACGATCTGACCGCGGGGCGCACGAGAAGAACGCGACTTGGGACGGCTCGACCTCGTCACTCAGAGCGACTCAGGCTGAGAGCAGTAAGTATCTTCGACCATTCGAACGGCTCACTGGCATGGTATCACTGTCCATTCAGCAACCGGAATATGTCCATCGCCGGATGACTGTTGTTTCTCGAGGTGAAAGAGAAGTTGGAGAAAGCGGTCCGCCGGGTTGCGCGGGGTCAGTGGCATGGCACTCGCACTGGCATTCACGCGCGTGGCATTGATGAGAGCAACTAGGCGCCCACGTCTCGTACGACGTTAGTACGTACCTGTTTCAATCTGTGCTGGTAATGGCATGGCGTAGGCGGTGGTAGCATTAGTAGCTGGGCTGACGACTCAGACTTGGAGCATGAACGGCGTTTCAACGACCCGCAAACCGGTAGAATCAGCACACAACCAGCATTTTCAATTTTCTCCACATCTCCCAATCGTGCTCGCGCTGAATCGGGTATCCGGGTTGCGCACCCTGCGCCCAATCGACATCCGGGTTCAACCGCGACGGGTACAGCACCTTCCCATTCTCGCCCGCCCAGTCAAAGTCAATGAGCATCGCGCCCATTTGCCCAGAGTCCCCCCTTGGGACAGCCATGACATTCGGCCGCCGCACGTCCCCATGCACGAGTCCCGCACCGTGGAGCACCTTCAAAGCCGTTTTGACGTCGTCCATGGTCTCGGATGGGAGCTGGGCGGACTTGTCCGAAGACACGTTGTCCTCAAAGCCGGGCACAATATCCATGACGACCATCGTGACGCCGCCGAGGAGGGGCACACATGCGTGCAGCCGCGGTGCGAGCGGCGGCTCATGTGCGGCCAGCAGCCGGTGCGCCTCCTCGCCGTACCGGAAGCAGAACTTGACAAGGACCTCGGACCCGTCGCCATTGCTGCCTAGCCGTGCGCGGAATAGTGACCGACTGAACTCCTCGACGATCCGCCCGTCCGCGCATTGATATTGCCGTCCCAGGTAGTCAAAGCGGTCAACGAAGCGAAGGTCCGAGAGCAGTGCACGGTTGCTGGCCTCATCCACGGGTGTCGGATGGGGAAGGGCGTGGCTAATGGAGTTGGCGATGGGCTTGATCGAGAGCACCTCGTATGAGTCGTGTAGGGTGCGCACGGCCGCACGGATGCTTTGGAGGATCTTAGCGACGTACACAATGCGAGCTTCCATATCGGAATCGCCGCCGAGCCAGACATATTCCGTGAAGGGCTGTATGGTGACAACATCAGCAAGTATGGCCCCGTAGAATCGTATGAACGGGCCGGAGACGGAGATGAGGATGGTCGCGCAGCAAGAGACATCTCGGACGGCCTTGTACTGAGTGGAAATGATCAGATGTGTTCTTCATGAGCAGCGACAAAGCACAAACCGCATCCCCATGGGCAACTGCATGTGCATAGGTCGCAGCAATTTGGACGCCACCCGCCCCACTCGTTACGGGTTCGTTCTTGAATTCCGCACACACATAGACAGCCTTGCGGTCATACGGCTTGGACTCTCGTAACGGGACTGAGGCTGCTGCATCGAACTCTGCAACATAGTGCCCGCCGTCTTGATTGTACATCCTGACGTGCAGAGCGAGTTGAACATCCAACAGAGTGCTGAGAATAGGACGGATTTTCTCCAAGCGATCCTCTTCTTTGTCGTATCGCTCCTGGGACGCGAGGAATAGCTGGCCGGTACGTGCAACCCAGTTGGACGGCAAGTCCGTGCGCAAATCGAGGCGATCGATACAGCGTATGTCCTCCTTGAGGCGCGCAAACGCTGGGTGGTAGATAGTCACGGGCGGACCTGTGGCGTTCCGGCAATCGTAGAGGAAGGTTTCGCCTTCGAGTTATTTCGGGTCCTTCGCGACCTCAGATGGGGAGGCGACCTTCTCGATGCGCGCAAAAGCCTTCAGGCGGCCTTGGGAGTAAGTTAGGTGCATGTCTGAGTCGCTCCCTGTGTATGATCTCACCCTGTTCGACAATGGTCTCCGGGCGCAGTGGCGCTACCCGAGAGCTAACACAGAGCTCGAAGACGATATGATCCTCGGGCAGATCGGGCAAGGAGGCCACGCGATCAAGACGATCCAGAAGACGCTTCTCGTTCTTGTACTCCGCCATCTCACGGAGGACCCTTCCCTGTCCTCCATCCCGGCCGACAATTGGGTCAACCTGAAGGAGTAAGCTATCACGAATAATGCTGAGAGATTGGCGCACCAAGTAGTAAAGCTGTAGGTCGACGCGCATGAGCTTGGGCCATGTCTCCTTCAGATGGTCCCCGCACTCCTCCCATATTTCGTTGAGGATGTTGTAGACCTTAGCGTTGTCTGGCACAGTGACGTCAAAATAACCAGTATCAGGATCGATCAACTTGTTGAAGATGAGATATGTCGGCATATTGCTGGTCGGCGAGGGGTGTGAGACTAGGTATGAACATCGTATGAGAGGGGGGTGCAGGTGACCCCCGTGGGAACCGTCTGAGTTGCAATTCCTGGGCGAGAGCTGTCAAGAGCTGTCAGCGGACACTGAAAGGGTGGCTGAGGCTCTGCGTTGTCGAGAGCTCCATAGCTGACTGTGGGTGGAATATCACAAAGATAAAATACCCTGGCCGCAACACTGTATCCTCCAAACCAACATATATTTTCTCAAGATTTACCGCTGGGTAGAACGGCGGGCGAGGAAACGCGTCGAGACACTTTTTGGCGCGTCGTTCCCACGGGGGTCACCCGCACCCCCCCTCATAGGTTAGTCCAGCCTCTATTCTAAAGGAACGACTGTCTTCCGCAGAACTAGAGTGCTGGTTTACGAGCCTAGTGTGAGACGTCGGTTTTTGGAGGAGGGTGGGCTTTCGGCCATTGCCGAACCAGGCGCTCGAGCGTTCGCACGGCGTTTGACTCCCATCTTAAAGCACAGAGCGCACCGGGGTACATGTAGAGTATATGATTTACTAAAAACGGTATCAAAGAGAGCTCATGCCACCTTTTGTAATTTTTGAACGGAATCTGCGCTGAAGGCGAGGCTTTTCGGGGTCCTCGGGCATAAGACCTGGCGCTTACTGCGTGTCCCAGCAGTCAACACAGCGACCTTCGTGTTGCTGCAAGACATCAATGTTTCTTATATACGTAGATCGACTGTCATCTACTATATAGTCAGCCACGGAGACTACACATTATCACAACAGGCGTTAATCGCCCAGTGCGTGGCTTTCAGGCTCCGCTGTGGCTCCCCCCTGCTCCCCCTCACGCCGCCCGCGTGAAGGCGCGCAGGTGCACGCGACACGAATGCATGATCACGATGGATGCATGAAGGTTTCAAGTTTGTCGACGCCGTCTGCAGAGATCGCGCACCCTCAGATCAAGTACACATATGCTGCCCGTGCATACGGATGTTCAAACGACGAATGTTTATTGCACACACTTATCGATCTGAGCACACCGCGGAGCACAAGTGCGGGCACCGGCACAGCGACAAGGTCTCGGTAAAAAAGCTATCGCATTGTGTGGAAGGCTATGAATGGGCGTGCGTAGCAGCACCTACACCCGCAAGTGACGCCAGCAAGCCTGTCCGAGGAACTCACTTCCGCGTCGAGCGCGAACTTGGAAGCGCGCTCACTTCGCCCCGTGGTGATCGAGGAACGCGCCATTGTCCGCAGGGGTGAGCCGGTCGATGACCTGCAGCTGCGCACGCACAGACTGCTCCGGGGTCTCCAGCACGAACGCCGTCGTCCCCTCCGCGATCTTCCGCAGCATCTCCTTCCCCTCCGCGTCCCCTGTCCGCTTTCGTGTCAGCCTCTTGACCACCACCCTCTAAAGAAAGCTCACCAGATGGCCCGATCGTGTCCGTCGTGTCCACAAGCCCGGGCGTGAGCGACACGACCGTGAAGCCCTCGCCCTTGAGCTGCAGCGCCCACTTCGCCGTCGCGAGCGCGCCCGCGGCCTTCGTCGTCCCGTACGCGCACATGTCCGCGATGTCCGCGCTGTAGACCACCGCGGGCACCGCGCCGTGCGTGCTAATCACGATGATCTTCTTCGTGGGCGCCGCGCGCAGGAGCGGGAGGAAGGCCGTGACGCTGTGCACGACGCCGAGTGCGTTGATCTTGAACTGTTGGCATGGGTGTGAGGGACGGGTGCGAGGGGAGAGGGAGAGGGGAGGCGTACCGCTTCGATGAAGTCCGCGTCGAGGGCGTCCATGCTCGGGCTTCGGGGAGGGCATGGTGTCAGCGAAGGCGTGGAACACACCGATGAGCTCGCTCACTAGTGGTCGAAGCCGAAGAATACGGTGTCCCCGGACATACGTGCGGCGTTGTGGATCAGGAAGTCCAGCTTGCCCCCGGTGACGGCTGCGACTTCCTCGGCGGCACGCTGCATCGGAAGAAGAGCGTCAGTTGGAACGTCAATGAGAGCGGTGACGAGGATTAGTGTACCTCTAGGGACGCGTGGTCCACGATGTCCGCTTCGACGACGTGTACGTTCTTGAGATTGGCAATCGCAGCTGCGAGGTGCGTGCTTCCTTTCGCGTTGCGCACAATCGCAAAGACGACTGTGTCCGGGCGTCCGGCCTACAAAGGTGTGAGCATAAGCGCATCGACAAAAGCGAGCGTTTACAATATACCAGCTGGCGGACATACTCGAGTCCAATCCCGCGAGAAGCTCCGACGACGGCGTAAGAGGTGGTCATGGTGTTAGATAGATCGAATGGGATGAGTTATAGCGTTCGGAGGCTGGTTTGCTCGAGCGTTGGGTTGATGAGACCACGACGGTGCTCGCGCCGCTCGCTTTATACACCACCCTCCCGCTGCGCATTTCCGCAGTGTCTCAAGGAGAATTTCTGAGTTAGGACGTGCCAGAGAAACACGTATGTATCGGCACCTGTCTGCGCAACATTTCCGGGCAGCACCGAGGCGTGACTATGCCGTTCGCACCGCTGTGGCGTCGGAGCTCCCAGTGGGCCATAGCACATCGCCTGGATGGTAGCAGCTATGCACAGGGGACGTGATGCCGGGGTGTGTGTCACCGTCCGCGTGCCCTCATGATGAGGGCTTCGTGAGTCCGACCGGGGATTACAACTGGCTGCAGTACGTCAGGCGGCATGAGATGCTGCCGACGACATGATGCACATGGAGAGGGTGGCACGAGCACTGAGTGGCTATGCGGCAGCGTTGAAAATCGTCTGTCGGTGTAGTAGCGGAAGATCTTCAGTTGAAGCAAGTGCCCGGTCCGCATCGGGTTTGCTGCGTCCAGCTTCGTCTATAGCTTTGGAAATCGCGCGAGCGAGCCGACTAAGTATGGATATACTTCGATGAGTCGGGAGAGGCCCTACCTGATGCCGCGCGGGGACGCCAAGCAGGTCGAGCAGGGCAGGCACGAGCCTGCTCCGTGATTTTGTCGTAGCGGCGGCCTGGGTATTCAGCTCAATGATATGTTATTTGATGGAAAGAAAGAGAATGGCGAGTGGGGAAAAAGTGATGAAGTTGGGGGACGACGGAAGCGACACCAGTGTGCGACGAAGACGAGTTCGGCGTCGAAGAGAGCGCGATCTAGGCGTCGCCGGGTGCCGCCGCACGGTTTGCGATATTGTGACCGTTACCGTCACGGTGTTATGCATCGGTCACCGCGCTCACCGCGAGTGGAGGAGGAGGCGCCCGCAGGCTGATCGCTCTCTGACTAGGACTACGTCCACGCTGCTGCTTTCGGAATCCACTGGGCCGACTCAGCACCCGCTTTCTGTCTTTGAGATCAATCTTTATCTCTCTCTCCACGACTTCATAGCAGTATCAGCTTCAAAGGAATTATGGCTCTAACTTGGAACAAGCCTCAGAAACTCGGCCAACACCCTTCCTGCCATTTGCACTACACGCTAGGCCGGGCGATCCTCCTGTGTTTAATCACTGTGGCCGAAGAGCTAGGCTCTTCTCAATCTTGACGAGGCATGCTGAACAGCGCGTACAACGACGTACGTGTGACCTGCAGAGTCCAGACGCGTTCTGCTCGCTTCGCGCGGGCGCAAAACTAGTACTGTCCACATCTCTTCCAACGCATCTGTCTTGGAAGGTGTTATACGGTACGTCAAAATCTAAGCTGATTCCATCTTTCGACTGACAGTATTGACCGCAAGAATGGGAAATCGGACGATGCCGTCTTCGTCGCACATAGCGGGAGAACCTCTCTAGAAGATTGCAATAAGGCAGCTGTTTCGCCAAAAGTACGGTGTAGGTTTGGCGCTGTCTTGCGCGTTTGCGTTATCTATGACGCTTGTGCCATACCCAACTTGTACACGACGCGATGCACTTCGAAAGGCAAGGTACGCACCATTCCATTCTTTATACCCGCCACGCCCGGGAGCCGTGGACTAAGTTGGGCGGGCCGACATTACATCCATCCTGCCAGTCGCGTCTTCGATGCAGTGACTGGCGATCCAGGGTCTGGACCAAGTAAGCGTCCACGATGCGCTTGCTCAGTACTGTGTCCTAGGATCGTGCTGTTTTATCTACTCACCGCGTCCCGGCCTGCCCTCGATAGTTTTACACATACGCACATGTGCGATAAGTCGGACAGGCCCGCGTCTACCGTCCCATGCATCTCCGAAGACACGTCGGACAACAAAGCTTCTTTCCGCGCCCGGCGCTCGCGCAGCTTCTTCTGGGCTTCTCCTCGCGTGCGCGGACTCCGCCTTCTCGTGCGATTCGCACCCTGTCATCGCTTCGTGCGCAATGCGCCCAGCGCCTGGCCACACGCGGTCCTCATTTGGTGCTCCTGGAGCTGCTGATCTCGTGCTCGTCCTCGCTTTATCGCCGATCCGCTCGGAGCAGGAGACAGCTCTTCCTCGGGTGGCCAAATACGACAGCACGCCTCCCAGCGACGCGCAAAGCCCGAATCGCCCATATAATGCCCCACCATCCCCGCCTCGCACGCCCGTGCGGGTCTCCTCTTCCCTGTCCTCCCCCATCTCGCTTGCCACCGCGACTCGCCCTCTCGCCCGTCCCTTTTCCGCCCACGCGTCGATTACCGCGCTAACGCCGATGCGGAGCGAGCATGGGAATGCTGGACGTCCTCAAGGTGTTCCTTAGCCAGGAGCTCGAGTACACGAATGCGCGCGATCTGAGCTACAGCGAGGTTGCCTGCGTCACCGTGCTGACGTGGGACGTGCTGGTTATGCTGTCGGAGGAGGTACGTCCCTGCGATGTGTGCGATCCGCGTGTCTCTGACGGCTATGCAGGTTGAGCTGATCTGGAAGTCAGTATCGAACACCGATCCTGTGTGGGTGCGAGAGTGCGTGCTAATGACAATGTAGACGAGCCTGGACGCCGGCGAAAACCATGTACCTTATCGCACGATATATTCCATGGCTTGTCCAATTGTGAGTGCCTCCGCGCGCGGGAGGTGTGCGAAACTCACGGAGCGATCCCAGAGCCTTACTCTCTATCAACGTAAATGGGAGCACCGGCCTGGAGTTCACAGACCGCCAATGTGCCGCCTGGCAAGTCGTCCAGGGCGTGCTCCTCCAAGTCATCGTCACCACGGTAGACGTGATCCTCATCACACGAGGTACGCTGCCGCTCGTCCACGCAGCATGAATGCGGGATGCTAACGGCTCCGCGCCCAGTATACGCCCTATACAGCAGGAGCCGCGTCCTCCTCGGGATCCTCGGGAGCCTCTTCGTCGCCGAGCTCACCTTCCTCTGCTACGTCCTCGCTGTCGTCACCCCGCGCCTCACCTACGACGACGAGTGCTACGTCACCTCCAGCCCCGCCATCTTCCAGTACTACTGGTGCGCCTCCTCCCCTCCCGTCCCCTTCTCGTATCCCTGCAGCGACACGGAGCTGACGCCCCCAGCAGGATCGTGTCCCTGTTGTTCGAAACGATCCTCTTCGCGCTCACGATGTTTCGCTTCTGCGAGGCTGTGCGCCAGGGCTGGGGCCGCGGGCCCGTCTTGCAGCAGTTCGTGTCCGACGGCACATGGGCGTACGCGCTCGTGTTTGCCACTATGCTCGTCAACATGATGCTCTACAAGTACGTGCGCTCCACGCTCACCGGCATCTGCTACACGTGCGTCTCCTCCCCCCTTTCCGTAGTCCGCGCGGGGCCGCAGTGCTGACGCGCATCTGGGTACGTGGACACAGGTGGCTACTCGTCGTGCTCTCACTCGCCGTACGTACTCTCTCCTCCCGCTGCCCCAAGTCCGCCCCATAGCTGACCCGAGTCTCGCCGCGCCAGGGCTCTCGGCTCGTCCTGAACCCACGCCGCGCCTCCGCCGCGCGCTCCGCCACCTCGCGCAGCCGCCTCGAGAGCTCGACGATCGAGCTCACGCGCCTCTCCGGGGTGCCGCCCGTCTCACCCGTACGCGCCCATATGCGCCAAGGGGGCGTCCTTGTCACGATCGAGCACATCTCCGATGGTACGTACGCCCTTTGGGTGCGCTTGTGGTGTGCTGGTGCTGATGAGTACGGGCGCGCGTGCAGTGGACACGGAGTGGGAGAAGGAGGGGCGGCGTTCGGGGAGCACGGTGGGGGACGGCCCGTATGCCGTGTAGGTTTTTATGGGGGGATAGAGACGCGCTGCGAGCACGAGTGTAAGATGTACGATATAATGGAAGACGTTAGAAGGCATCCTATCGCAGCGCTGCAGCGCCGCATCGCGTAAGCCCCGCCACGAGATCCCCGCGGCCACATAGTGACGGCCGAAGCGCGACATGGATGACAGGCAGGGCTGTGCTGTATGGCTGTATGATGCATGTCTGGAAGTGTCGCGGTCAGTCCGTCATGTGTCCTCTCGGGGAGTCGACTCGGGAAAGATGTTGCGACACCCGAAGAGATGCTGGAGGGACAGATGAGGTTTGAATGTAGCACACCTGACAAAGTACTCGATAACGCAGAAGGTACAGATACGTATTAGGGAAGGTGGACACCCGCGTCTAGCGTTCACGAGGATATGGAAACGGCCGCTGCTCGGATCCGTCAAGGTAGGTTATCGTGCGGCCGTCCGGGCGCAAGCGCTTCACGTTTAAGATCGAGGGTGGCTAGCCATACACAGGGTATCATGCGCGAGTACATACCGACGACAACGCAGCGAAACTTGGAGGGGTTGTATTCTAAGGAACATGGTTTCGACTTCCAAGAAGCTTGATTCGGAAAGAGCACAAGGCCCGCGTCGCCCGACCCCGTCTCCCCTCGCGCCCGCTTGGCTTTACGCACCTTCGTCCTCTTCCCATGCACCTGTCCAGTCTCGCACCCCTCTCGCAGCCCATCCCTCTTGTACGTACTCTCTGACATAGGGCATCTCCCTGCAGCGGATAATAAACTCGGATAATAATAATAATCAAGAGCACAAGGGCGATAGTGATCAGGAACGGGAAAGCGTCAGACACCCTCCGAGCCTCTGGCCAAACCAAGAGCCTCTGGCTCCGCCTCCATCCAAGGTTCCGAGTTGAGGACCCCTACGTCCACCTCCAAGTCGTGTTCGCGCGGCAGCGTCCGCTCCTGGTCGAACAGCTCCTGGTCGTCGTCGGGGGTGGAATGGATTGGACCGGCGAACGAAGTCAGGAATTCAGGGAGGTCGGGCGTCCCCGATAGATTCGCATCGCCGAGGTCGAGAGAGAAGGACGAGGCCGATGTACCGCCCCTCTCAAGCTGTGCGGTCGTCCCGTAGAGGGCGAGTAGAAAGCGACAGTTTAATATCGAGCTGACACTATAACACCAGGGTCAGCCCAACGCTCTATGAACGTGACTAGGACGACGGTTGAGGAACGTCCTTACGGGTCAATGAATGGCAAGATATAATCGATAAATTCGAACGGATGGCTGAACATCTGAGGGGCATGATGGTTAGTCAAAGGCTGACAGAAGTCTGCTTGGATATGCACTACTACTCACTTGGAGCGCGACGACGGTTATATCCATTATGTTTAGCGATACCAGTGCACTGTTCATACAAGCTGTTGAAAAGAAGCGGGTCATCAGGATGGAATGGCTACCACCAAAAATAAACATTCCCTGAGTGTTCAAGTTTTAAGAGGGGCGTATCGTCAGTATACAGCTTACGTTTACTTGACAGAATGGCTGAGCTCACCGTTTTCCCACAAAGTCTGATCCAGAACAGGCCGTCGGAGAATTTGTGTCGACGTCTGGCGGGCACCACGAGTGCGCCGCCAGGTGACAATCACAGCCAGAACTTCTGCGATGATCAAACAGGTCCTTGAGACAACGACCGCTGTTCAGAAAGGTCAACGACTGTGAATTGTCTGGTAATTCTCCAGGCTTACTCCTGTGCAAACCGAAATTCACGTTAATTGGCTATACTTATGCGGCCGGGCTCACTTACGCAAAAAATAGTGCTGGGGTCGAATAGACATAGGCCACACAGCCTTCTGGTTGGGGCACATTGACGGGAACATCCTGGTATAAAGTGCTCTATGATGGTCCACTGCATCAGTAAATGCCTCGTCGCATGTGGTGATGAGACGACGAACTATATTGACGAAAAATGGGCCCATGCTGAACAACAGTACCACACCAGTGATTATTTTGTTTCTCCCCGAGAGCGCGTAGACTCTCATGGTAGTGAATGCTTGTGTGATCAGCATCAATTAAATGGGCCGGGGTTTCGACTCGAGTCAATTCGCTCACCGGCAGGACCGAGCATAGCCAGCACCTCCATGGCATAGCCGAGCCATATTAATCCGGCACAGCTGCTCCGTGGGTCAGGCCGGGTATAACGAGAGAGAGTCTGGACATGCGAAGTGTTCACCTCTGAAGGGCAATATACGTTAGTCAATTGCGTCATCGGAACGATACCGAGAAGGCACACTCACTATGTCCGAAAGCCTACCGATGAACCCAACGTCCAACATGTTCCATACCAGGGACAAATACCTGTTGTACATATATAGGATCCGCGAGACTTTGCGAGAAGTCTTTGGTCTCCACCAAATATACCGGGCTTCCTTTCCCACGCAGAGAAGTGCATCGTATGCGAGTAGTGCTATCCGAAAAGTATGTCAATTTTTAACACTAATAGGACAGGACGAGACGTACTGGCGACTGCCAGAGCAATGCTGTGGGAGGTCCTCCTATGCAACGGTATCAGTACCATTCCGGAAACTTTGAATGCCGTGACTGACGAGGCGTGATATTCAGCGGCAACTTCCTGCGAAACGCTGGTGGAGGTGGGTAATGACATGTCTGGACACGTGCACGCAAACTTGAATACACGTAGCGGCAGGAAGTTGTAGAAGCGAGTGATTCGAGGCGGGTCGCGTCTTTGGGAGTTCAACTTGAAGCGCGGTTTGCTGTGTTTTATAGTACTCGTATACGTAGCCCTGGTAGCGCATGGCTGGTGCGTTGTCGGATCGCGCTGTGAGCACGTCATATGCCATCCGTACTTCTAATGACAGTATCATCAGTGCTATGAGGTGCGGCGGAAAGCTGAACACTTTGTACGTACGGAGATGTGGATGAAGAGATCCTGTGCTACTGCAAGGGGAAACAGAGCAGCCACCTCTAGAACATCGCGGTGTGACTGGCGTTCGGGGCGCGCCCACCAACGAGATTATCTTCATATCCAGCTGCGGGGCACAGGAAAAGAGATGTCGAGCCCGTGACTCTGATACTCTACCGCCACACCAGCTCTAGGGTGCTCAAGCGGATCAGTGAGTACGAACCGGGCGCTTGTGTTCCGCACAGATTGACAGGGGCGACGAATGTCCTGAGCGATACGGTGGTACTACAGCTGTATGCCGGTCTCTTGACATTCCTAGTCACAACGCCAAGTCAGCGATAAATTAAATGAGAGAAGACGGATATATCACCGAGTCGAACTCTTTCGTGGTGACACTACTAGGCGAACGTCGTAGTGCTCGGGCGCATATCTACGCGTGGGTGCTCATCTAGTGGAGCAAGACAAGAGCCCGAGAAACGATGGTTTGTGACGAGCACATGAATGCATCGATGCATATCCAAGTCCTTCATATCGCATGAAGCAGGTATGAACCCTCCATGGCCGCTCACCTGCCTGCGCCGAGGAGAGTCACAATCAGAACTGCTATTGCTCTGGGATATGGATGGCGACAAGGTGGACTTGAGGCTCTGCTCAGATATTCGTGACGATACTCAACAGACACAGAGTTTTGGCGGCAATGGATTCTCTATTTCCAGCCGCTACGCAGAAGTTTGTTCTGCAGCCCGCAGCAAATTGGATGGCATGGATCTTCTGATGTCCGTACCAGTAGTCGTAACGCGTCTTCGCTGCGACCACCGCCGGTGCTATACTGCCGCACACCCGCAGCTCGCGCATCCCCGGCGCGCGCAGTACCGTAACCTTAAACACACTGGACCGAGCCCAGCCCGCTGATGCACAAGCGGCACATCAGCGGGCAGTGGGCATAGTCGTGCAGCTTCCACGGGATAAACATGTATAATCATGTAGACCGCTGTCACCATCGGGAAGGGCATGTTCTCAAAACTTTAGGCTCACCATCGAGCATGATGATGATACTTGCCTGCGCGGAGCCGGCTCGTCCCGCACTGCCTCAGAAATCTCGGCGCGCATGTGCCCACTCACCATATGGACCGAGAGAGAGAGACGCAGCTGCTGCTGGAGAGCAGAATTTACATGAACGGGTCCCCCGTCCTGGCCTGTCAGACGTATCGCATGCATGCGTGTGTATCTATAAACTGTCAAGGGTAGGCAGGGGAGAGGCGAGGGGGATGCACTAGCACAGTTTTGGGACATAGTACGGAGCGAGCACATCGTGGACACTCCAGGCCCTGGATCACCAGCTTCACTGAAGCGAGGACGGAGTTGACAGGATAAGTGATATTAGCCTGCCCAGCTCAGTCTACGCCTCCCGGGCTTGGCGGGAAGAGAGAATGCAATGGCGTGTACAAGGATCGTATGACATGCGTCATAGATGACGCGAACGCGCAGGAGATCGCCGGACTTACATCGCATTAGTGGCGAAACAGCTGCCTGAGTGCAATCTTCTAGAGAGTTTCTCCCGCTATGTACGACGAAGACAGCATCGTCCGATTTCCCATTCTTGCAGTCAATACTGTCAGTCGAAAGATGGAATTAGCTCGGAATTTGACGTACAGTAGATCACCTTCCAGGACAGATACGTTGGAAGAGATGTGGACAGCACTAATTTTGCGCCCGCGCGAAGCGAGCAAGACGCGTCTGGGCTCTGCAAGTCGCGCCCGCGTCGTCGTGCACGCGGTTCGGCATAGCGCGCGCAGGCTTCGTCAAGATCAAAAATAGCCCAGCTCGTCGGCCGCAGTTATGCAAGGCAGGAGTATCGCTGGCCCAGCGTTCAGTGCAAGCCGAGTTTCTGAGGCTTTGGTCCGAATTAAAGCCACAATTCCAAGTTTAATGCTATCAAGTCGTAGAGAGATACCAGATACCACAGAAAACGAGTGCCTATCCGGCCTAGTGGATCCCGAGAGCAGCAGCATAGAAGTGGTCCTGGTCAGAGAGCGATCAGCCGGGCGCTTCGACTGGGTGACCCGTCCATAACGACCTGTGACTGTAACGGTCACAATATCGCAAATTCGCACGGAAGCGCCAGGACCCCGGCAAGCCCACCAAGAGCTCATATCCCAGGAACCCCGAAAACGGGCCCGGAGGGCCCGAAAGTTACATATTTTTGGGTCAAAACCCCCGAAAATCTGGACCCTCGGGGCCGGAGCTACATCTACCTTTGTCCCGAATTTTGCCCTCGGCGAGGCAGGTCGCATCCCGCCAACCCCCGAAAATCAGCGTCGAGCGGGCCGGCAGGGACCCCAGGTTGATCGGTGGCCGAGGTCTTCCTGGGGCTGCACACGCGCCTTATGAAGCATGTCTACGAAACTCCTTGAGTTACTCTAATCAGCATTAGTGTCGCCAGTCGAAATCCATTATAATCTGTAGTTAGTCGCAACTTATAACCCATCGAAATGGTCTAATCATCAGGATGCGCGCCTTCAAAGCAGTCAAATGTTCACCGCTCAGCGACCCGAACTAATCTTTTGTCGCTGCTGTCACCAACGCTGATCAACTACACGCTTGTTCTATGGATGCCCCACCTTCTCATCTGCTTCAAGCATTCTGTCTACCCCCAGAGCTTCCCGTGTCGGCTCGTCGAAATGTTCCGCCGCCTGGAGGGGCACTCGACCGCCCTCTGCAAAGCCGTAGACGGGTTATTCAAGGAGACAAGACGGCGCGGGAAGCACGCGGAGACCAAGGAGTCGGGCTCGGAAGGTGGTATACCGGCGTCGAAGCGTCCGAGAGCATAATTTAGATCTTTCGGAACTTATGTCAAGCTAGCTAGGTGGACGCGATCGTATACGTAGGCCGTGGTTCGACCAAAAATCGCGTTCTGTACACTGAACTGGATGTTACATGCCAAAATTCCCCGAATCCGGCGAAGCCGGGGGGAAGTTATGTGAAAAACCCCGAAAATCGCCGGATTTTGGACCCCCGAAAATCGCCCAAATGGGCTTCCGACCGGATATGAGCTCTTGGTGGGCTTGCCGGGGTCCTGAAGCGCCGCGGCGAACTTTCCTCGACCGTTTACTCAAGCTTGCTAGTTTTCTCTTGCTGCCCGAGCAGACGACCCTCGACGCCGCCACATAGCTACTCAGTACTGTTTCGGCTACCCCTAACGTGCATCATGCCCTCGGCAACGCTTCAGGCCCATGCCGCCCAGTGACGCACTGCAGCAATCCCCGGTCGGACTCTCGAAGCCCTCTTCGTGAGGAACTCACATGTTGACACACACACCGGCATCATGTTACCTGTGCACATTTGCCACCATCTAGCCTATGTGCTATGGCCCACTGGGAGGTCCGACGCCACAACGGTGCGAACGGCATAGTCACGCCCTGGCTGCTGCCCGGGAATGTTGCGCAGACGAGTGCCGAGGCGTACGCGTTTCGCTGGCACAGTGCAGCCCTCGGTTCTGATAGTGAGGCTGCGTGAATGCGCAGCTGGAGTGTGGTGTATAAAGCGAGCGGCGCGAGCACCGTTGTGGTCGCATTAACAACGGTTGAACCAGCCTATTAACACTATAACTCACCCCCATTCGACCTCTCTAACACCATGACCACCTCATACGCTGTCGTCGGGGCTTCTCGTGGGATTGGACTCGAGTATGTCCGCCAGCTGGTATGTCTCCAACGCCCTGTTTCTTCACCATGCATATGCTTACACCGTCTTTGCAGGCCGGACGCCCAGACACGGTCGTCTTTGCAATCGTCCGCAACGCGAAAGGAAGCACGTACCTCGCAGCCGCAGTCGCCCATCTCAAGAACGTACACGTCGTCGAGGCCGACATCGTGGACCACGCCTCTCTGGAGGTACACTACACCTTGTTCCCGCTCTCATCGACATCCCAGCTGACGCTCGTCTTCCACTGCAGCGCGCCGCCAAGGAAGTCGCAGCGGTCACTGGGGGCAGGCTGGACTGCCTCATCCACAACGCCGCACGCATGGGCGGAGACACAGTGTTCTTCGGCTTCGACCACTAGTAAGCGAACTCATTATGTGCGGTCCACGACTTCACTGACACCATACCCTCCCCGAAGCCCGAGCATGGACGCCCTCGACGCGGACTTCATCGAAGCGGTACGTATCTGCCATCCCACCCAAGTCCACTCACCCTGAAACTCTCTGCAGTTCAAGATCAACGCGCTCGGCGTCGTGCACAGCGTCGCGGCCTTCCTCCCGCTCCTCCGTGCTGCGCCGACGAAGAAGATCGTCGTGATCAGCACGCACGGCGCGGTGCCCGCAATTGTCTACAGCGCAGAGATTGCAAACATGTGCGCGTACGGGACCACGAAGGCCGCGGGCGCGCTCGCGACGGCGAAGTGGGCGCTGCAGCTCAAGGGCGAGGGCTTCACGGTCGTGTCGCTCACGCCCGGGCTTGTGGACACGACGGACACGATCGGGCCGGCTGGTGAGTGGCTGCGTTTCTTTGCGGTGAGGGAGGCCGTCGACTGACCGGAGTGGGGACAGGGGACCCGGAGTTGAAGGAGATGCTGCGCAAGATCGCGGAGGGGACGACGGCGTTCGTGCTGGAGACCCCGGAGCAGTCTGTGCAGGCGCAGCTGCAGGTCGTCGACCGGCTCACCCCTGCGGACAACGGCGCGTTCCTCGATCACCATGGGGCGCAGTGAGCGTGCTGCCCTTCGACGCTGAAGGTGACGGTGGGGGAAGGCCCGTATGCCTTGTAGGGTGGTCCAAGGGAGGTAGTCGGCGACGTGCTGTAAGATGTACAGAACGGTGTATTTCGAAAGGATCGGAGCGCTCAGCAGTTGAAACAGCTCAACCCAAACGACTCATTGTAGGAGACGAACGACCACAAACTGCCCTAGCCAGCGCTGCCTCGACGCGACGGGAATATGCCCGCGACTCGAGCGAAGGTCGACCCGGAAGGAAGTCAGCGTGCGCCCGTGGCGCAAGCGGGCTGAGATGGCAAATTGCCAGAACCATCGTATTCAGGGTACAGACTGGAGTACATATTGGGACAACGCGGCTGGAAAAATCTGTGGTATAGAATACAGGAGTTCCATCCCCAAGAAGAGCGGATCGCAAAAAGCGTCAGAGTGAAAGGATAGGGAAAAGGGCAAGCAAAAGGAAGAGAATCACACCCGCGCCGCATGCCCACCGTATCCACTCGATCCGTCTGCGCCCAACCCCGCATGCACCCGGACCTCCGCCTCGGGCTCAGATTCCGCGTCGTACAGGACCGGGCCATACCCCATGCCGGGATGGATTGGGCCCGCGAACTCGCTGAGGAACTCGGGAAGGTCCGAGGGTGCACCCCCGGACGGAAACGCCTGGCCGAAGTCGAGCGAGAAAGACGAGAGCGACGGGCCACCCCGTTCGCGATGTGCAGTCGTTTCGTAGAGCTCCAGCAGGAAGCGGGAGTTCAGGATTGAGCTGATGCTGAAAACGCGGTATTCGACGAGAGTTGCGGGTGATATAGAGGGGACGGGCTTACGGGTCGATCAAGGGTAAGAAGACGTTTTCTATTTCGTATGGGCGCGCTAGAACCTGAGAAGGAGGACGTGAGTGAAAGAGTGGCAGACGGGTGCTTATAAGGACACTCACTGTAAGTATGGCCATGGTCATCTCCACGATGTTCAGGGAGACCAGCGTGCTGCGCATGCAATCTCATTGAGCGAAGGAGCACTGAAGATGCGGGGAACAGAGATCCTCACCAGAAGTAAACATTCCCTGAGCATTGGACGAATCATATATCGTCAGCATGCAAGCAAAGCATGGTGGACCGAAGAAACAGTTCAGCCCACCGTTTTCCCACAAGATTTGTTCTAGAGAAGATAGGCGAACTGACTGCGGCCACATTTGGTGCGCGGTATAGGTGTACCACCAGGTGACGATCCCAGCTAGAACGTCCGCCAGAATCATACAGGACCTTGACGTGATAACCGCTGTGCATGAACGTTTGAACGTCAATCGTTACTCCCTGGTCCAGCGAGTGTCCCTGAAATTGAACTTACAACTGCCCAAATGCAAAATTAGCGTAAGTGAATGTAGCTCCCCTTGACAACTTACGCAACATAGGCTGTCGGAGTGGCGACGATGTAAGAAGCACAGTTGAGAGGCGAGGGTAAATTCAAGGTTACATCCTGGTATAGCGTGCACTGCAGTCATGCGCGGTTGATCCAGTAAACGTCATGATCGGCGTCGTGATAATATGACATACCACGTTGACAAAAAAAGGCCCCGTACTGAGCAGGAGCACGACACCGGTTACCGTCTTGTTCTTTCCCGAGAGCGCATAAACTCTGAGGGTGGTCAGTGCTGGTAGCGTGATAGGTATGATGAGCGCGAATATTTGAGGCTATGGAGATATACTCACAGGCGGGGCCGAGCAAGGTCAGCACTTCCACGATATAGCCAAACCAGCCAAGCGCGGTACAACTAGTACCGAGAGTTACAGATGTCAGGATTGGCACGGGACCAAAATTTGCGTAGCCAAAAAATCACCTCTACAGGAAGGATGTTCTGTTCAGAACTAGTATGCGTTACCTGAATATTACTCGAGACACTTACAGCGTCCGAAACCGGGGAGACCAAAGAAAGGACCACGAGTATACGCAGCAGGGCCATGTACCTGTTGTACATGTAGATGATCGGCGAGAGTTTGCGAGATGTCTTCGGCGACCGCCAGACGTATTGGATTTCCTTGTCTATGCAGAGAAGTGCATCGTATGCGAGGAACACTGATAAAATGAACCATGAACACCTTGGTAGCAGTGCGGCAAGATGCTAGTGAAATAAACAACGTACTCGCAATTGCCACATCAACGTTGTTGATCGTCCTACTGCACAAACGTATTCGTGATATACTCTCGCATTATTGTATGATGCAGACTCACGTGTCTTGATAGAAAGAAATAAGCCCCGCATCGCTTGCAGAGACTGAAGACATGTCTCGTCGCACGTCAACAATTTGCCGCAACAGAAGGGCCGGCTGTGAGCGAGGGTTGTCGGTGGAAGCTCAGGGATCGCGTCGCTCTATGTTCGAGGACGGTTCGTTCTGTCTTGTACTCAAAGTAGATGTGCGGCGCCGCATGGCTCTAACTTTGCTGTATTCTGTTTCCGCTTGTCCGCGTGTTTTTGAGAACTGCGTTACCGGGCTGGGGTGGACCGGGTGTGGTCGAGGTGCGTATGGCATGCTGTTCTTCTTTCCACGCGTAAACATATGGATGGAATCGAAGTTTTGCCTTTCTACTGAAACAAGGTGAGCCATTCCAAGGCTGTATCAGCGTCCCGAAGTCAAACTGGAGTTGGGGGCATGCTTACCGACATGATTATCTGCTTCTTCAACTGCGGCGGTGCTAGTATGCGAAGATCTGCCGATAACTCAGCTTAACATGGCTCGGTTTGGGGCCCGGAAGGATATCGGAGCCGCGAACTTCCTCGGGCATAAAGAGCGACGAACTATGGGCTGCGGCTCAGATGAGTCCACGTCGGAACTGCCAATACTTACTGTCTAGGAAGATCGATATACGAGATGCGACGAGCTGCAAGCTCTGCCTAAATCTTCATGATCATCGCACAGCTGGTGATCAGGAAGCGACGACTCTATTTGTGCCGACGAGGCACTGTGTCCTTTCTCGGCGTAACCCGCACCACATTAAATGCTGTCACCCTTTTTAGGCCTCCGCTCACTGTCCTCTTCTCTACTGCGACCGCTGTCGGCGCTGTACTGTCACATGGCACTCGCAGCCGGCGCACCCCATGCATGCGTTGCGTCGTTTCCAACACACCACCGAGCGCTGCCCGCTAATGCACACAAGGGGCACATAGATGGGCAGTGCTCGCAGTCGTACAGCTTCCCCCAGATAAACCCCTGGATGTCTAGACTTCCGCCGATATCGGTAAAACGCGAAGGAAGCTAAAGCGTGCCCGGCGTAACGGGGGCGGGGCCGACTCGCCATATATAGGGTGTATATGTGAGTACATATCAAGGATGGCGCGGCCAAAACGGTTACTATTTCTGGGGGTCCGGATACAAAAGAAAAATCAAGAAAAATAATCTCAAAGAGGCGCAAGAGCGAAAGGCAGTGGGGAATGAAACAAATCACGCACACTCCGAGTCTTCAGCCTCTCCAGTCAGATCACATTCTTCTGACTCCTCCGTCTCCCAGCTTGCATCAATATTCGCTTCAGGGTCGCGCCGCAACGTCGACTCGGCGTCAAAGAGATCCGGGTCGTCATTGACGGGTACGGTGTGTATCGGGCCTGCGAACGGCGTGAGGACTGCCGGGAGCCCTGGGTCGGCGGCGCCGAGATCGATAGAGAAAGATGAAGCTGACGTGCCGCCCCTCTCGAGACGTGCCTTCGTTTCGTATAGGGCGAGCAGCAAGCGACTGTTTAGTATCGAACTTATTCTGCAGAAAGCGAGGTCAGCTCAACGACCGTGATGTGAATAATTGGCGGGGAACGGCTTTACGGGTCAATGAAGGGCAAGACATAATTTGACACTTCGGACGACGGCTGGTATAACATCTGACAGGCGTGAATACGGTCAAGATTAGGAAGACCGATGCGATGCTTTTGGAATACTCACCGTGAGCACGATGATCATTATGTCCCCTATGTTCAACGAGACGAGTGTGCTGGGCGTACCGTCTATCTGAGCAACATCGCCGGACATGGTTCATATGGAGAGCCTTACCCAAGATAAACGTTCCCTGAGCGTTAGAACACATACAGACCTTCAGCAAACGAGTGACCCATACTCCAAGGTTCAAACGCACCGTTTTCCCATAAGATCTGCTCCAGAGAAGAGCGCCCCATGAAATGTGTTGATATTTTCCGGGAAGTACGGGTGTGCCACCAGGTGACCACCATGGCGAGGATGTCTGCGAGGATTAATGACGTCCTCGACACTATGACCGCTGTTCAGAATTAGTCAATGGTTGATTGTGTTCCGGGCATCATCGCGAGACTTACACCTGTGAGATTGCGAGGTCAGCTCCGGTATAAATTGTGTTTACTCAAAGAAACTCACGCTATGAAGCCTGTCTGGGTCGTCTCCAAACTGAACGTACAGCCCGAGTCAGGCGGAGGCAAATTGACAGGCACATCCTGGTACAAGGTGGACTATGGCAGAGCAAGCGCATCAGTAAGTTCGTATCCCGCACAGCATTGCGATAGTAGCACACCACATTGACAACGAAGGGACCTATGCTCAGCAGAAGCACAAGGCTAGTCAATATCTTGTTTCTTCCCGAGAGCGCGTAGACTCTCATCGTGGTAAACGCTTGCGTAGAAAGGATGAGGTCAGCGGAACTGTATGCCCATGGGTCCATGTTCAATCTCTCTACTTACAGGCGGGACCAAGCATGGCCAGTACATTTAAGACGCTAATGAGCCGTTGTAGCGCAGTGCAGCTGCGCAGAGGTACGGTGTCAGAATTGAGAGCGGGCATGACTGCAGCGAAGGCATGTGCTTGCCTCTGAAGAGAGAATATATTAGTCAGTGCGCTTTCTACGATTATGGCATGATGTCAATACTCACAGTGTCCGACAGCGTGCCCATCAACCTGAGGTTCAGGATGCTCCATAGCACGGGCATGTACCTGTTGAATATATACAGGACCCGCGGGACGCTGCGAGCAGCTTCTGGCGATCGCCACGCGTACTGGACCTCCTTTCCTATGCAGAGCAGTAGATCGTACGCGAGTAGCGCTGTTTGGGAGACATATCAGCATTCCATGGACGCTGAGAGAAGCTGAGGAATGAAACATACTCGCAACTGCTACGGTGATACTGTTGAACGTCCTCCTGCACCAACGATCCGAGTCAATTATGCGTTGAGAGAATCTCGGCATCATGAACTTACGCAGACTGATATGAAGCAACTAGTTCTGCGATGATCGCAGAAAGAGAAGAGGACATGTCTCGCTACACGCGAAGGACTCGTTGGAGTCGAAGGACAGGGTGAGAACGAGGAATGAGAGCGGGTTCGTGCCGCCGCATGTCGTGGGGCGAGTCGTTATATCTGATACTCACAGACGTGCAGCGCATGGCTCGTGAAATGTTGTATCATGTTTCCGCTGCGTGACGTCCTTGTTGGAACTGCTTCATCAGGTCGGTGAAAGTTGAGGTGTTAAGCCCCTTGCTACCCAGGCAAGCATGAATAGAAGCTTATCTCGCCACGAATATAGAAGGACGAACCATCTTTAGGATAGGTCAGGATATGGCGTTGGGACCGGCGTTCGGAGTATGCTTACTTCCAACTCTAACGGTAGGGCGCAGATGCCAATCACGCGTAGTTGATACTCTCTTACTGAGCATCCATGGCGCTCAAAAAATAAGTAGTGGGTACGTACCGTGTGTATGTGGCCTGCGCAGGTTCATGACCACACTTAGTACTAGGTGGTGGTTCCAGCTGCAATATAGCGGCCACGTTGGAGCGTTCCGCATCGAGAGTCATATTTCTCAGCCAAATAGAAATACGGAGAGTAAAAATGGACTTGCTGAGAACGAGAAGATGGCAAGGGAACTCGTCAGACTTCCTGAAGTTAAACAGTTAAACATGTGGTGTTTCGGGCATTTCACACACCGGACATGTGTAGCGACCCACTGCCAAGATGGCGACGAACTATGGACTGCGACTCAGATGACGCGATGCCGGAACTGCCACTGTCGAGAAAGAAAGATGGGGATGAGACGAGCTGGAAGCTCTGCTCAGGGCTGCATGCCAATCACCTTACAACTGGCGATTAGGCACTGATAGCTCTATTTGCGGCGATGAGGCACCAAAATCTTATGCACTGCTATCCGCAACCATACAGTCAATATTAAAGCCATCCCCGACGTCTGGCAATCAGATATGCGACCTTTTCGCTTCCTCGCCACGTCCACCACCGGCGCTATGCGGTCGCACACGCGCTGCTCGCACACCTCGTGCACACGGAGCACCGTTGTGTCCAACACACCCGATTGAGCACCACCCGCCAATGCGCGCAAGCGGCACATCGATGGGTAGGGGTCGCAGTCGCACAGCTACTATTGTTGCCGTCATCGCGAAGCCTGCTATAAATCTCTTCGTTGCCCGAGAAACCAGTCTTCCCAGTAAGAAGTGAGAGTGCGTACCGCCGGATTGGAGGTCACGGTGGTACTTGCAAACGACAGGCCAATGTGTACAAGCAGGTCTGCGCGTGATATGCAGAAAACGTAGCCAGTCTCGAGTGCGCGGTACCTTGACGGGAAAATGAAGTGCAGCACAAGCAGGGCATTATGAGGGTCGGAGTGGAATATGCCGTCATGGTCCGCCGAGATCAATAGGGACTGAGAAGGACACCCTCGATCTCGAAGCCACCTTGCGGAGGTCGTAGCGCACGAATAAGTTTGAGACGACACTCACCTAGCTCAGCGCTGCAGTGAACGTGGATAGCATCGGCATGGTATGCGTCTGATATAGCATGCCAAGCTGTGACAGAATATAGACGCGAAGCTCCGGGGATTGCTTGGGCAGCTTAGTAGGCGCATACTCAGGCTTGTATCGGGCAGAGAGTCAGACAAGTGAGAAGAGCGAGACGGTGCTTGCGGGAAGACCTCAGGAAAGCCGGCGCTGCGGTAGCCATCCACGCGAACGCCACGTGGACCGGCCCACCTGGTACAGCCTGGTACATGCAAAAAGTAAAACTCAAAAAGTACGTACCTGTGTCAGTTCTGGTGCTGGAATCGAGCTTTCTTTACTGCCCCAGCACAAATCAATGCAATACTGATACACCGTAGATTCAACCGACGTCCAGCTTCTCGCTGCGTGGAAGCACAGTCATGCGGTGGACAAATAACAATATACAGTCATACGCATCTCGCCGACTCCGAGAACTTGCTCGCGCTGATATGTAGGGTACGTTAACGGTCGACATGCTCCGGAAAAACCAGACGTACCAACAAAACCAACCTATCCTCCAGCAACAGCATGGACTCCGTGCTGGAACGGGACACGATGTCGCCTTCTTGAACGACCGCCCGGTGGGAGACGTCGAATTGGAGGGGTTCCTTGGGCCGCGCAACGCTCCCCTCGGTTTCGTCGGCGAAGTCAATTTCCTCCGGGCCATCTCCAGAGCTCTGCGGATGTATGTTGCTAGCGTGCGCCCAAGGATGGACTTCAAACACGTGGATGGCCGGCGATGCCAGCGGGCCCCCGTCAGAGTGCATACAGTGCGACATGACAGCGACGCGTGAACCGAAGGTGGCTACTTGAAGTCGCATATAATCGTCCATAGAGAAGCGGAGCAGAGCCCCTCCGCGCGTCCAGTCCTCCCACTCTAGCACGCGGACCGCTCCTGCGGGAGGACGATCGGCAGACGCAGCGGAGAGGCCAAGTCGCGCAGCGAGATTAGTAAAATGGGGCCGTGATGCATCGCGTCACTCGTACCTGCTTGCATGCGAGTATATCGCGACATCGAGCTCGAGTAGGATAACGAGGATCGTCTCCGAGTCTAGGTCGAGGATTGTCGGCATGCTGATGTATCTGATGAACCAGGCTGTGTGATAACAAGTACGGACGTGTCCGCTCGCAGCTTCTTTGAAGCCAGAGACAACGATCAGATGGGCTCGCAGAGGAGCAGAGTCGACACTACTCACCGAAGTGTAATCGATGGCACTGGTGGTTGTGGTCCAAGGCAGGAGGACGGCGCTTGAGTGCTCGAGCTGCGGTAAAGTACGTGTAAGTGTACAGGGCCGACTGTACTCCACGCTACCGAGCATGGCCACGGATTCACTAGAATCACTACTGTTGCATAGCAAGACTTCTCAGACGTCAGACAATACACCAGCGCAACGATAGGAAGATGCACACAGTCACCCAGCCTTGAAACTAGCGCGGAAATGGTGATCGTAGTGGCGAGACCTTGGTGGACTGCTCAAGAATCAAGGATGTGTCAATATATAGGACGGAAGACGACAACTACCATGACCACATCATGTCCAGTATAGCGAGCGAGTTCCCACCAAACGTCAGAGAACACGGAGTAGTTCTTCTTTCCACATGGATATGCCGCCGACTCCGCCCAAGTACTAGAAATCTGAAGGAGACGACACGCGAATCATGCGGAAAACAGGTGCAGCAGACTTTGGGTGCTCTCCGTGTCGCTGTTATTCTGTATGCAAGCGACCGCGTCAGGAGCCATGTATATAGGTCGAATAGACAACGGAGAACAGCACACTCACCGTCACCGCGACGCCGTCCGGGAGAAGAGCGACGAACGAGTTGAACCAGTTGAAGTCAACGACCTCGCCGTACACGACTGTCATACGCACTGCGTGGAAGGGGAGACGGTTGTGGATGGGCCCTACGAGGTTCTCGTGCACCGTAATCACGTCCGACGTGTCCGCGTACTCCGCTAGAGGGTCCACACGGCCATCCGCAGCACCGTGCCGTGCCCAAGGGCAAAAGTGGGCGACGAGGATGTCGAGTGCGATCGGTCGGCCGGTACGGAAAGAGAAGAACAGGCACCTGGAGCCCACCGCGCGCACGTCCCACCATTGCAATCCGTTTGCGAGAGGGAGCAAGCGGCTGCACGGCGCGCCCCACGCCTTCCAAGGGACATCGCCGCGAGTACCATCGGCGTGCGGGGGCTGTTCGCGGTGATCCCCGGCGCTGCTTGCGTGTCCGAGGAGTGCGGATGTAGGGACAATCAGCGTGTGCGCCTGGGAATCGCCGCTAGGTTCGGATACGATGTGCAAGCTGATCGCGAGAATGGTGAGCTGCGTGTTGTGCTCGAAAGCAGGGGCGCAATCCGGTCGACCTGAAGACGTCTGTTGCGAGCTCAGCTGTTTGATTTGTACCGAACAGCCTTCCTCAGTGAGTGGAAGCGAGAAGACGCGTAAGGAACTTGGAGCGTAATGTGGACTGGCTGCTACGGTGGATGCAGGCTTGTTCGGGTCGACAGTGTAGACGTTGAGTTGGCTTCTGTTGTTGCTTGCTACAACTAGATGGTGGTGATCCAGGAAGGCAAAATGCGTTGGGGCGCCGTCCGATTCTGCTCTCTCCTGCCAAGTGTCAGATCGCCTGCTTCATTTCATGATGTCTACTGAAAGGCATACCCATACGACAATTCCCCTTTTCCAGTTGTACACACGAAGGTGCACCTTGGAATCCGCATACCATGACCACACGAGAAGATCGTGGCACACATCCATTTGAACAACGAACGCCTCATGCGCCGAACCCGCGTCGGCACTGATGGCAGGCACTGCTGCCTCTGAATGGGGAGATAGCGTTGTGTCGGAGAGGGAGTATATTTGACACTCAAGTGCTCTGTCACGTCGGGCGTAAGTTTGGGTGCTTAGTAAAATGGCAAACATAGATACCGTGTCGGGTGCGGTTTCAAGCAGCACATCACAAACAGGGACTGCGACAGGTCCGTGGTGCACCTCAGTGGCCGTGATGAGTTGTTTCCGAGGTCCATCGACCATACTTGCGCGGGGATCCCACGGGCAGGCGAAGCAGGAACGACCAGCCTGAGTTGCGATCCCTGCACAACCGGGATGGCGCCTCCTGTGAATGTCAAGCATCGGTAATGCTCGTTGCGGTCGATCGGAAACTCGGGATCCTGTGCAAGCTCGGCAGTCCTCCATGCCTGCGTGTATCTCTCCAGGGCGAGCAGCCGATCTTTGACAGGTACGCCCGACGCGGGTCCATCGACCATACCTGCCCCGGCTAGAGCGAACTTGTAACGAATGACGGCGGTATCCAGGAGAGACTTGAAGTAGCGGGAGATCTATGATATGTCACGGAATCAGAACTGGAGAGGTCGCTGAACAGATGCAACGCTCACCTGGCCGCAGACCACTATGTCCGACGGGTCTAACTGTAGTAGGATATGTACCACCAATTCTTGCGTTTTAGAGCACGACCAGAAAGACTGAAGATCGCGTAGTAGTAGACAAAGTCGCAAGAGATTTCGTCGAGACGAAGGGGTACGAAAGGAAAAATTCGATCCCAAAAGATCAACGCGTCACCAAGTACTGCGCTTCCACAAACAGGTACAAATGGGCGCTTCCTGAGAGAAGGTTTGGGCAAAGTATGAGCAGTTCTCCGCACGAGTACTAGCAAATGAACAGCGGAAAACGGTCGCTCTAGTATATCAGATGAGAGGAACGAAAAAAAATACAAACATAGCAATGTGGTCCGTGGTCCGTGGAACCTCGCCGATACACATGTCGTACCCTATCATAGAATGGCATGGTGAGCGATAAGAGCTGGAAGTCGCATATTCCAGTTCTCATCGATGGCTTTTTTGACAGACGGCTGCCCTCGACGTACTGTTGGCGGCTTGTCAGAAAGACCCTCAGGCAAAGCACACACTACGAATAACGTACGCCTCTTGCCTCTTTTCAAACGAAGTGCAGAGACCCCGCAGAGCGCCGCGCCACATCCCCTCCGCCGTCATGGTCGGGGTACACAAAGCTCTCCACGACGTCCGACGCCGTGTACGTAGACAGCCCGCCCGTGACGTCGGTCGAGAAGAGGTCGGTGGTGCCCGCGGAGTCGTCTGGCTGGCGGAGCGCCAGGAGGTTGAGGAGGAAGCGCGCTACCAGGAGCGGTGTCGCGCTGTTGAAGGTGCGAGGACGCATTAGAGGTGGGGACGAGGACGGGGAAGCGGAAGTGGCAACTTACGCGTCCCGGAAGTAGGATATGCCCCCGCGTATCGCGAGGGGACCCTGCATGTGGATCATTAGATCGAGTATACGAGACAGAGTGATCGAAATTTGTGTACCACTTGCGTCAAGATGAGACACACGATGTTGAATAAGAACAGCACGCTGAGTGAAGGTCAATATCGTGCAAGGCGCAGCGCGGCAGTGGAGACTCACAGGAAAAACAGCGAGCCTGACGCAAGCCCGATGGTACGATGAGCATAGGGACGCCACGGTGGAGCGCACAAGCACGCACCATTCTGAAACAGGACCTCGCGGAACGAAGTGGGGCGGTCTGAGAGCGTAGGGCTGCCGCACGTCTTGCGCGCGCAAAGGATCCGCAGGCCCGTGCACTTCCACGTCCATGCGATGATGACGCCTTCGGAGAGGATGACGCTGCAGCGCGAGCAGTACGACACTAGAGGGCGGATTGGTCAACGTCGTATCAGGGATCAACATGGGCCAGGCGAAGGCGCTTACGACTAGAAGTTGGGTCAGTACCTGGCTAAAGCACCGTGACAGTGCAGACTTACATCGTCAGGGTACTATCGGATATCGCGATGTTCGTGATACACCCCGTCGGGGGCGGGTAGTTGATAGGCTGCGTGTAAACGAAGTAGTACTGTGCATAATACCTCAGCCACTCTCGATATCAAAAATAACACACGCGTTCTACGTACCAGGTTTACTCCAATGGGAACTAACGTCAACATGCAAATGATGGCTGCGACATATCCTTTCCTGCCGGACAAAGCGTATCCTCGATAGGTCGAGAACACTACGAAGCGCGTCTGCAAGTCAGAAAGCGGTGACGTAAAGAGGATGCCTATGATCGACGCACCTGCCCAAACGAAGTACGGAAGTATCGCGGACACGTCTTGCACGTACACGAGCGTTTTACACCTGCGAAGACATATAAGACAACATCAAGCAACAGTCAACGAGACACGAACGTCTACAAAGAATTCGTCAGTCACCAGCACGCGCAAACGTAAACGCGGAGTAGACCGCACCGTATCATCCACATATCCCAGCAGCACGATCGTCGAGAGGTAGTAGAGCGGCCCGCACACGCGCGCGAGGATGTACAGCACGCTCGCGACGTTCATTTTGCGGGACCACACGACGTCCTGCTCGATGGGGAGCGTGACGGCCCAGTCATACAGGAGCAGCGCTGAGAAACCCCAGTCTGTCAGCCGAAGTCACCTGGCAAGAGCTGTGGGAGGGCTGACCTGTGATGGAGACTATGCACAGATTACTGTACGGCGTGCGTGAGTATCCCGGGAAAAGAACGGATAGGGAATAAAGCTCACTCATTGTTGGCCATAGTGAGGTCAGACAGTAAGCCCGATAAATCATCTGAAGACATAATGAGTAGCAATGCAGCACAGCGAGCTGGAGCAGACTAGTGGACGGTAAGCAGCCGGGCAGGATGGTGCATACCGCCCTCCTCGAGTCTTCTGCTCGGTATATACTAGTCATCCCGAAGGCCATATGCTGCGTGAGATGGGATGGTAGCCACGAACGAACTCCCGATGGACAAAACACGTAGCGAGCCGCCGCCGACGCGCACAACATGAGCCGGTACCGCACGCATTGCCATTGTCCCGCAACAAGTCCACGCGCCGTCCGCATCCATAGACTTCACGCGTACACGACCCACGCGAGACGCCTCCTCGATATCGCGCTGTAACATTGAACAATCAAGTTACGAGATGATAGTCTGCGGGAGAAGCAGTTTGCGCAGACCCTGGAGCCCAAGATGAACGTGACGGTGAGGCGGAAGAAGAAGATGCGGACATACCGCAGGCATTGACCGGTCGCGGTCGCAGTCGGGGCGCGCACAGCCTCCCACATGGATCCCGCGTTCTCGCCATCTTCGCGAACAGTGCAGTGCGATGGAGTCTAGTAAATGGGCGCCAGCGGCCCCGAATAGGTGTCCGTTCTATAATACTCTGGTACAGTCTATAGATCTAGTATGTTAGTGTAAGTAGTGTGTGCAAGCCTGTGCTACCGCAGGCGCGAACGTCCATGCGAGTCCGAGGCTATAAGACAAGTGTGTCGTCGGTTTACAACACGAGGCTCGACTGGGCAGCCCAGACGGCCAGGACGAGCGCGGCAAGCACCGGAAGAGAATCCGCTGCACCATCGACCCATCCACGGGCAGAAGACGTTTGGGTGACAGTCGCCAGGCTCGAGCACGTGGTGCCGGCGGTGCTCAGCGCGGAAGTCGGGATGAGGACCTGAGTGCACCCGGTCATGTCAATACCGGAATAAGCACAGCACAACGGGATCGTCGAACGCACCTGCGGGCTGCCTCCAGATCCTTGGACGGTGACACCGCCGTTGCTATCTGCATTCATCTTGGTGCAAGTGAGGACATCTACGAGCTCCTCGTTGGCCTGGAAGCCCGCATCAGACACGGTCCATTTCGGCGTCGATGAACTTCCGCCGTTGGAAAGCAGTGCGAGCATGGGCGGCTTCAGGATGGCCATGGTGGAATCCGAGCCCGACGACGGGAACTTCACCTACGAAGACCCAGATCGTGTCAGGTACAGTGATCTTGATAGGTAAATGGTGATACTTACCGCAGTGGTCAGGAAGGAGCTGTTCGCGGCGATCGCGGCCTTGCGAGCGGCATTCAGCGTCTTGACGTGGGTCACGAGGGGCTTGTCTTCAACATAGCCAGACAACCAGAGACTGGACGTAGGAGTGAGCCTAGGATCATATAGGGGATCAGAATGGACTCACGCTTCGCGGTTGGCAGGATCGGCGCCTCCAGCGTAGGATTGCTCTTGACCTTTAAGAGACGTTGTGAGCGAGGAGTCCTACGCCCGCAGAACGTGGATGGATGCTTACCGTAGTACAAGATCGGGATCGCGTCTTGCACAAACGGCCAAGTCATGGCGTTCTTGATCAACTATAGAAATCTGTGGTCAGTAGGCCTTGGGGATGTATGCTACTCGGAATGCGTACTGCACTGTCCTGGGTAAGCGACTGGAACCGGGGCTGATCGTGGTTCTCGAGGAACGCGCCAGTCATGAACTCGCCGTCCTTGTACGAACTCTGGGCCTGCTGCACAGTGGCTGCCAACGCCGAGAGGTTGCCGTTCGAGGTCTGGAAAGCGGCAACAAGCGGGAACCAGGACGGGTAGTCAAGAACAGCGTCGATGACCTCTGAAGCAAAAATGAGCTTTTGTCATGGATATACACGATTTGTAGACCTTACGAGTGTATGCTGAAACATAGCTCGTCTCGTTGTTCAGAACCTCGCCGATCGTGAAGACGCCGGCGGACTTGGCAAAGTCCGGCCAGAAGTCCTTCCGGACGTGCTTGACCGTGTCGATGCGGACACCGTCCACGCTGTAGTTGCTGACAAGGGTCGAAATCCAGTTGTTCATTGTAGTAACAACGTCGTTGTCCTCGGTGTTGATGTCAACCAGCGGGACGTTCTTGTCGCCTAGCCAGCACTGCTCGACCTCGGTCTGGTTGTCGTAGTTGGAGACGAAGCATTCGCTGTGGAAGTCGGACTGCGAGGAGAACGGCTGGAAGGCCGAGAAATTGGGAGGATCCGCGGTTCCGACCATGTGGTTGACGACGACATCGACCATGAGGTACATGCCGCGGTTGTGCAGGGCAGTGCTCAGCGACTTGAGGTCATCGGCAGTGCCGAAATGGGAGTTCAGCGAGTTGATGTCCTGGGTCCAGTACCTTCACCGTATGTTAGACCGAGCTGATAAGCAGTATATACTACATCACATACCCGTGGAAAGCCTCGCCATAGGTGGTGTTCCCTTCGACGTTCGCGACTACGGGCGAAATCCAGACGGCGTCAAAGCCCATGTTCTGGATGTAGTCGAGCTTGCCGACAAGGCCCTTCCAGGTACCGCCACAGTATTGTCGCTGGGATGTGTCGCAGGAGGGGCTGGAGCCATCGGAGGTGGCGAAACGATCGGTGATCACCTTCATGCAAACTGAACATCCTATTCCTTCTCCGAGGCAGCATAGCCTGGGTCGGACGTACCTGGTAGATCGTGCGGTTGCGCCATTCATCTGCGGACGCGGCGAACGCAGAAGTCGCAAGGAGAGACGTAAGGAGTGCAAGTCGTAACATGGCGGAAGAGGTGCAAAGAGCGTGATGAGTTTGCCTTGAGTTTTTACAAGTCTGCCAATGTTGCCATCTGTCAGCACCAGAGACGTTGGGTTGAAAGATGGGGTGTCCTGACCTGCGCTGGACGTCAGCCCGGCGGAAAGGGCGTTGACAGTGGTGGTTGTGAGGGAGGGAAGAGAAGAGGGGGGACGAAGCGGCCATGTTGAAAGCGGGGTGGGCTATATAGCCCGCTCAGACGTCAGCGAAAGCCTAGAAATGTGGCGGGGAGGATCGCCGGAGGTGTGCCGAGCGCCATATATGGTCGCATCATGTCCATTTCGGGACAGCGCCCGCTTGGCGGGGGCGTTTGGGTCTGAAGCCAGCACCGTGTCGGATGTCTGGCACTATTCGTTGAGAGTTACAAGCTGCCGCAGAACCTGTAATTCGGACTCAAGAACCACGGCTTAGCGATGCATGCGCTGGCAAGAGGTATCAGAAAAGGGCGAGCTGACACAGAGTACTATGTCACTCCGAGTTCCAGTATTTCACGGGCCAATTCGCCAGGGCGCTTGCCGTGCGAATATCTACTACGCCGTTTTTCTGGGGTCCTCGGGCATAGCGTAGACCGAGGCCACCAGCCATCAACCCACTCCTGAAAGTACGTTGGTAGAGGAACCATGCATGGGTGACGATTGCGGAGCTCTTTCCTTAATCGATGTCCCCACCCGACTGTCCAAGGACGGGAGCCGCTATAAACACTGAGTACTGAGAACTTACCAGGACACGGGATGGAGCTACACCATCCATTCAGCCACGCTTGACCGTTGCATATATATATGTATACCGCGGTCTTCAGCATCGCGCGGGAGGTCGTAAGTCGACGTACTGCCTGATAGTGTAAACGCCGGGTGCGACACCGCACCTCTGATATAGCAGTACTTGTCAAAATAGGATTAGACGGCGATGATAGGATTGCATCTCACATTCCCGGGTGCGAACTTGGAAGATGAACCGACTGAGAGCCTGCAGGTTTGGATACAAATATTGGCGAGCGACATGAGAGCTTTGGTCAAGTGCACAAGCGCCCGCTGTGCGCCTAAATCCTGCGCAAAATGACCGCGTTTTAAGTCGTTGCCCGTCTGTACGTTCCGCTCTCTCACCAGCCCCCCTCCCTTCGTGCCTATCCTTGCTTGCACCCCGGTGCATTTGCATTTTACTTGCCTTGCTGCGTTCACGAGGCCGTTCTTGGAGAAATTTTGCTACTGCCCGAAGCGAAGCGGCGAGAACACACCATGAAGCGCGCTCAGGCATCCTTGCCCGAGGACGACTCCTCGCACGCCAACAAAAGGCTCAAGATGGACCCCGCTGCACAAGAACAGGCCGCGCAAAATGAGGAGGGGTGGACAAAGGTCGAGAAGCGGAAATCAAAGAAGCAAAGGAAGACGGAGAGCAAGCAAGGGGTGCGTGTGCCTTCCCGCAGCCTCAGTGCGCACCGAGCGGCGTTCACCTCATCTTATGCAGGCGACTTCTCCCAAGTTTATGTATGCGAAGAGCGAGATCCTCAAGCGGCGCGACGCTGTGGGCATCAATGTGCGTCAGGCGGTCTTTTCGCATCGTACCCTTGTTAACTTTAGCGCAGGACATCCGGGAGCTCGTACTGCACCTTGCCGCGGACGCCCCGCCGTCGAGCTGGGTGAGAGTTGAGGTACGTCCAGTCCCTCTTTCTTCTCCAGATACTCCACCGACGTCGTCTATCAGAATCCCCGCACGATCACGAAAGTAGTGGCTCTCCTAATACCGGGATTGACACCGGACATCCTCGCGCTCCCTCCTCTGCCCACCTCCGCCACTTCGAACCCCAACGTCCCCCTCGCGGTCCCATTACCTCCCGCGCAGCCGTCCGAGGATGCCTCTCCCAGCGTCCCATTCATCTCCTCCACGTTCACATACGCATGTCCGACCCGCGCGCCAGGCGACCAGACACGAATGCACTCGGTGCTCAACGCGTTCTTCCAAGGTCCCGTTACCGGGGAAGAGCGGAAGAGGCGGCTCACGGAGCGTCTGACTTGTGAGTTCGACTCGTTATGTCGCCGCAACCGAGTGCTCATACCGCGCACCGGCAGCAGAACGGGCGCAAGAAAAGTCGCCGATGCGGTATCTCCTCACGAAAGAGTTGATGATCGAGAACGGCTACCCCATGCCCTCGTATCTCGCAGAGACGTTCGAGAAACCGGCAGGGTGGGTGGAGACGAAAGTTGCTGCGGCAGATGACTTGTTGTCGACAACTCCCGCGGGTGAGGTACCGCGAATATATGCGATGGATTGCGAGATGGTACGCTGTCATCTTGACCACGCGTTTCGGTAGCTAACATCACATTAGTGTATGACGGAGGAGGGCAAGCAACTCGCCCGTGTGTGCCTCATCGAATATGCGTCGGGAATCGTGATCTACGACCAGCTCGTGAAGCCTGGAAAGCCCGTCGTAGACTATCTGACACGGTAGGCATATTTCCACGTCTTCGCCAGGAGTCCGCACACTGACAGCATTCTCAGATGGTCGGGCATCACCGCGGAGGGACTCAGCAAAGCAACTGCCACGTTCGAAGAGGTACAGGCGCACGTCCTCTCCGTGCTCTCCGCGACGCCCACGCCCGTACTTCTCGGTCACTCGCTAGAATCCGACCTGAACTCGCTCAAGATCTGCCATCCGCGCTGTATCGACACCGCTGTGATCTTCCATCACCCGCGCGGGCGGCCGCTGAAGCCCGGCCTCGCATGGCTCACGAAGAAGTGGTGTGGGCGCGAGATCCAGAACCGCGGCGAGGGCGGGCACGACCCCGAGGAGGACGCGCGCGCGTGCGTAGATCTGCTCCGCAAGAAGGTGGACAACGGTGAGCTCTCAGTTCCCGCCACCCCCGTCCGAGTGCTGATTCTAGCCGCTAGGTCCGGGATTCGGCGAGTTCAAGGTCGACATGGAGTCCATCTTCGAGCGCATGTCGCGGGCACGCGGCGGCACGGTGAAGAGCGCGGTCGTGGACCACGGGAGCCCCGCCGCGTGGCACGGGCAGAAGGCGACGACGTGCGTCGCGTGCAAGAGCGACGACGAGGTGCTCAACGGCCTCGTCGACTCGATAGAGTCGCACCAGTTCCTCTTCGGGCGCTTCACTGCGCTCGCAGACGCGCGAGGGTGTAAGTTGCGCCTGTTCGCCCTGCCTTTGACTCGAGCTCACGTCTCATGCCGTTCAGGGATCACGGCCAAGGCTACAGGCGACATCCCGCTCGACTCCGTACCTGCAACACCCGCCGTCGACCCGTCCCCAGCGGAGCTGCGTCCGGTCCTCTCCACACTTGACAACCAGCTGCGGCAGCTATACGCTGCGCTGCCCGCGCGTACCGCGCTCGTGCTGTTCACCGGGCATGCAGACCCACGACGGATGGCGGAGCTGAACGCGCGCAAATCGGCGTTCGAGGGTGCGCTGCGCATGGGCAAGAACGTCGAGGAGCTGGGGCCGGAGTCGCGGTGGACGACTGCGGACGGGCGCGAGCTCGAGGAGGAGGTGGAGAAGGCGAAGCGGGGCCTGTTGTTCCTGGGCGTCAAGGCTGGGTGATCATCTGTCTCCCGAGAACCTCGAGCTCATGTACGTCGCGCACAACCCTTTCTCGACGTCTTGAACGCACCGCTGGCCATCGCACTACGATGCTTGGTAGGATTGGAATGCCGGCACTATAGGTTTACGTACTTGTGGGCCGCAATAGACGCGCTGCGGTTGCTTTCCTCTCTTGGACCGCAATCATTGCCATCGACTGCACTTGTGAGTAACATCGACCCTCGTAAATCTGTCGGGCGTGGTCTGTACAATCAGAGGAGAGAAACGTACACCTACATACCTTCGCTACCAAGATCTTGCGGAATACCTCAGCATGCCGGCCATTCTTGGCCTGGCCTCGGAAATCATCCTCGCTATCCTATTCGAGTTGGATGTCCGCGATATACTCGCGTGCAAGCAGGTACGAGCGACGCGATGCATCGCGGCCCCATCGTACTGATTTGGCACTGTAGATCTGCAGGCGATTCCGAAAACTCGCCGAGTCCAGCGTTGTGCAATACAAGTGCCACCTCGCCTTCGCCGGCGCTGTCGACGGCTCGGCGCGCAGCTCCAGCATCGCGGAACGCCTACATGCTCTCAAGGAGTATCAGCGCGCATGGAGGACCTTGTCGCTCTCCTTCGATCCATCCTTCTCGAGTACTGGACGTCCTGATCGCACCTATCCCTTCCGCCATCTGACATTCAGTGGCGCTCTCGTCGCTATGCATGTCGGAACCAAACTCAGACTGTACCGTCCGGCGTCTCCAGGGCGTCGAGTCAACGCCATGACATGGTCTCTGGACCTGGCACACCTTGGGCTAACACCACTCATGGGCGCAAGTGATCTCGGAGAAGACGTGGTGGTCATCTGTGGCGTGAATATTGTGCACGGCAGGTATGAAACGGAGGCAATGCACTACTAGTTGAGTGCTCACCAAGTCGCAGGTCGTATTGCCACTTCCTGACCCTCCTCCCCGATGGCACGGTGGCTCCGCATCCCTTTGCGGCGCAGGCCCTGCTCGAAATACCCAGCATACACGATCCAAGGAGTGTATCCCAGATTGTCATACACGGCGATCTTTTCCTTTTGATGACGAAAAATCGGTGGAGTGGTAGCAACCTATACATATTGGATTGGAAGACAGGCTTAACGCTACCCGTAGGTGCAGTGTCGTGCAGTGCCAGAGCGCAGCTGACATTTCCCAGTGTATAGAGAAGATACACTTCCAGATGGTTTTCCACCTATTGAGCAAGAATCTGGTCCTTGTTGGCCACGATGAGGAACTGGCCATATACATCCTCGAGCCGGCCGGCGATCAGACCCCTGTATATAGCGGCCTACCCCTATGCGTGCTTCTACTTCCACCGCATCCGGGCTTCTTCCTGAAGGACATTCCACACCAACCGCTCTTATCATCGACAGAGGACGAAGGCTTGTTTCGTTCCGATCCCGAGGCCGCCCTCCTGGCGATCCACTTCGGTTTCCGATCTCAGCCCCGCGGCACTCCTCTCGACTATGTTCTGTGCATCCCGCGCGCAACGCTTGTGGCCCGACTTACCCTCCCCGCTGCGTCCGTCGCCGGACCTCCCGCCGGAGCGGTCCGCACGCTAGACTGGGAGGACTGGACGTGCGGAGGGACTCTCCTCTGCTTTTCGAGATTCACTTTCGTGGAACTTCAAGTAGCGACCTTCGGCTCACGCGTCGCCGTCATGTCCCACCGCGTGCAGTTTGACAGGCGCCTCAGTGAAGCAGCGACGGACGTCTGCGTATTCGAAATACATCCCTGGGCGCGCGCTAGCAACCTCCACCCGCGGGTCTCCGGGGATGGCTTGGAGGACATTGATTTCACGGCCGAATCGGAGGGAGCCGTTGGGCAGCTCCGGGACTCGCCCCCATTTTACGTCTCCCACCGGGCAGTCGCTCAAGAAGGTGATGCACCCCCTCAATTAGACAAAGAACGCATGCTGTTGCTGGAGGATGGGTTGGCGCTGTTGGTGCGTCTGCTCATGTTGTGGAAGACTCCGGTCACTGATGTTCCCCCCATATCAGCGCGAACAAATTCTCGAGGACGGCGAGATGCATACTACTACACATTGCTACCTGTCCACGGCCTGACCGTCTCCGCCCATCGAATCTGTAAATCAATGTTCCATTCGCAAACTACCGGAGATTCTCGTACCCGTTGTTGCAGAGCTCGTGGACCTGGATTCAGGTTCCGGGGGCTGGAGAAAAATCCAACTCAACAATTCGGAAGCCATGTGGGTATCTTGAACGACACCTGAGCATATCCCCTTCCCGAGACACGTAAAGCCGCCGTTGTATCCCGCTTTTTCGTGGTTGCTGCTCCCGATTGTGATATATTCACCCGAGAGACAGCCCTGGGGACCGAGACGCAGTTCTTACTCGCGCTTATTTGTATCTATTTGCGAAGACGTAATTAGCGGAGGTGCGCATATTTGCAGCTTCCAGACTCGACAAAACCGCTTGTAGCATTTTACTACACCTACACAATCCGACCTTTTCCCTCCCCCGAAGTCATAACTCCCGGGACCTTTGTCCTCTTTCTGGTCATGCTGCGAGACCCCAAGATGAATATCCTGGACCTACCGCAAGAATTGGTCATACACGTCATTCTGCAGTTGGACCCATCGCATGTGGTGACCTGCGGCCAGGTCAGCGCCGTTTTCATTCATCATGGAACTCCTGGATTCTTACCAAATTATTACGGCCGCGTCTCTTGAAAACACCATATCATGACGTACCACAGGTTTCCCGCTACTTCAAGGCCCTGCTAGATACTACCGTCATACGGTACAAGTTCGCTCTGGCCGCAGCGGGTATGGTCGACGGACCTGCGTCGGGTGTACCAGTAAAGGATCGGCTGCTCGCGCTGGAAAGATACGAGAAGTCGTGGCGTGCGGCCGAGTTCGTACGGGATACCAATCTAATCGACGATAGTTCAAACTATCGATGCTTGCCGTTCACGGGATGCGCCGTTCCAATCGTTCAGGGCTCCGTACTCAAGATCGTAGTCCCTGCCTCGCCCGGTCGTGGCATTCCGGCGCAGGTATGGTCGATTGATCTCAAGGGAATCCCCTTAGAGCCTCTTTGGTGCGCGGTAGATCTGTCGCAGTTCATACTAGTGCTGTGCTGCATGGCGACGCACCCGACACGGTATATAGCTTTCCAGATGCATTGTGCGGTGCCAGGACTTACAGCCGATGTCACAGCAAACTCGAATGTCGAGTGTTCTCCCTGTCGGACACCGCTGTGCTTCCCCTCGCCACAATAGCAGTGCCTCAAAGCGACGAGTGCGGCGAAAGATGTTGTGTCCAAAAACTGGACATCAGTCGTGATCTTCTAGCCTTGGCCTGGTGGCCAGACGTACGTGGGACACACTATTTCCAGTTGTGGAACTGGAAAACAGGCAATATTATATGGGTACGTCTTTCCGTGAGCGGAATAAACGAAGGTGATTGGGTTAACAATTTGCAGGAGAGAACCTGCCAGATTAGAACGCAGTTCTGCACGCAGTTCGCCTTCCTGGATCACCACCATATAGTCGTAGCAAGGGACAATGGAACTGAACTTCGAGTCTACACTATTCACCCCGACAGGCCTCCATCCATCGTCCCCTCCAACCCGGCCTCTCCAGACGACTCCTCTACGCGCATATTTCTGCTTCCACCGGTCAAGGACGGCACCTCCATACAGATCCATGAGCTGAGCTCACAGCGAGCACCTTCCAGTCGGCCAAGCTGCGCAGCCGCGTTCGAGCACAATACGCAGCTCACCATTCTGGCAATCACGTTCATTTTCAGTACTGGCAACATAGGCCACCGTTATATGCTGCTCGTCCCCACATCCGTGCTGCTCGGCGCATACGCATGTAACACCGGTAGCCAGCCGCACACCGACGAGAATCGCGCCACCGTCCTGTGGGAGGCGTGGGGCACGCCATGCAGCCGCTTGTTCCGGTTTGATACACGCGGCCACGGACGGTGGGGAGCCTCTATGTGCGCCATGAGCTCCCGGTGCCTCTTCATCAGTCGCTGCTGGAGTCAGCACAACCGGCTCACCATCATGGACATCCTAGTCGTCGAGCTCCGCCCCTGGGCACGCCAATACGGCGCTGTGGACGTAGAAACAAACCCCCTGGCCGAGTACGTAAACACAATGAACGCGCTGCTCGCGCCCGAGGAACTCGAGCCTAAAGAATCCATTCACAAACGCCTCCTGTTCCGCGTGGTGCGCCGCATGGTGGTCGTGTACGGCGGGGAGGTGGACTCTGTTGAACTTCTGTGTCTACGGCTGTGCCGGACCGGGAGTGGCAGTGATAGTGGCTGTGCGTCTACCATACGCCAGCATGGACTTTCCTACTTACCATATACGTACATTCTTTTGTTCTGTACTTACTTGGCATCCTGCCATCCCTCCATATGATTCTGGTACGTTCTACGATGTTCCGGACTATTCTAGACAGCGTCCGGACTACTCGCATTACTCAGCCATGGACTATCTGACCCTATGTCGATTATGCTCCCTTACTCAGCGTTACTCATCGCTCAGTCAGCGTCCTCTGGACGTCACATGCCCTCTTCCTATACGCTTACTCATCGTCCTCCCCAGTAGTATATAAGGAGGACTCTGCAGGCCTCTGCTCTTCAGTCGT